CACGTCTTGTCACGGTGAACGATCTAGACAAGCACAAATATTTGTATAGTCCGCCCCTGTGATAATCCGCACAGGGTAAAATTTCACTTCTTAATCATGTATAGTCCGCGGGCTATGCACCTAAAATACGGTAGTAGTAACGCAGTGCTGATACGGCGTAAAGCTAGAGCTTTGTTTCTAGCGATGAGTTGACACTGCGGTCTACGTGTGAACAAGCCCTTATTGTTAATCCTCCCGAGTCTAGCAGCATGTGTTAGCTATGTACAAAGGCTAACGTAACATCTTGAGGTCAGTGACGTATGTCTCTTCCCGGAAGCATGCAAATATTGGGAAAAGGAAAAATAATAGATTGAAAGAGAATGGTATTTAGCAGGCGCTAATAGCGGGGCTATCCAACAGCTGCGGTGGCCATTGACCTTTTATTTGTCTTTCGATTTCTATGTTTAACAGTATAGTTCCGGTTAAGGGGCCTGTACAATATTTTTCGTACTTTCAATTAATACCGTTTAGAATGAATTCCTGATGATCATACAAGGGTTTCGTGTTTTCGATATTTATTCATTGCAAATGATGCGGTCAGCAGCACTGCTTAGGAAGGAGGCGGTTTCATTAGGTGTGACAAAACGAAATGCTCAAATGTATTCCCATCTATGCATTTAACAAGCAATGTCGGCAAGCAATTCTACCTGTCAATTGTGTAGGGAAAGAACGATTTTTTAAAAGAGTTTAGTTCTGGTAAAGTATGGTGGAATAACTTTAGAGTGATTTACTCTTGTTCATCTGTGACGAAAAGGAAATAAATATGTTGCAATGGATAAGTCCGATCTGTTGTGAACGATAAACCCCGCCAAAAAGTAACCCTTGAGCTGGTTTTACCAAAATTGGGGAAAACTGAAAAAAAAAAAAACCGAGTAGGCACTGTTCTTGGATAATGAAAACCTAAGTTTTACGAAAATAACTTTTCATGTACAGATTTATTTTTTGTTGTCTACACTCCCCCCCACATATGTAAATACACAAAAGTAGACACACACAAACGCACGCACGCACACACGAAAATTATCAAAAATTCCATAGAAAATTATTCCCTCGGAGCGTCGTCAGAATAAACCATGGATGAACCACTAGTTACGGAAACTTCTTAATAAAAATAAACGTGCACTAACTCAATACCGAGCTCGTAATGACCCTGCATTATACAATAAACTAAAGGAGATAGCTGTCGCCTCTAAACGTGCAAGCACTTCGTCCCGGGCAAACTGCTTTTCAACACAAGATGTGAAACTCAGGCAAAACCCAAAGGAATTCCGGTAGTTTATTCGCTCTAATAAAAACGATATCGTTGGAATTTTCTCCCTGTTGGTCCAGGGTCGCCTTTTAGAGGATGACTCTTTAAAGGCTGCCAGTTTCAATGATTACTTAAAGTTTGTTTTCTCGGATATCGTGACGGGAAATTATCGCGATTCCGAAGAAGTGATTTTTTCTACAGATTTTATGTCTGAAATCTATTTGGATAGACACGGTGTATTCAACCTTCTAAAGAAAATTAGACGAGGTTCAGCACCTGGCCCCGATAGAATTCGCAACGCTGTCCTGAAGTCTTGTGCTGAAGTTATTTCGAACTACTCGGTAGTTTGTTTTACGGTATCGTTGAAATGTGGCTTCTTACCTCTGGACTGGAAATCTGCAAATGTCGTCCCCGTCCACAAGTCTGGCCCAAAAAATCTGGTACAAAACTACAGGCCCATCTCACTGACAAGTGTGTGCTGCAAAACTATAGATTTTATTATTTACACTAACCAAATAAAACGCCTTAGTCTTATCAATTTCTTTAGCCCATCTCAACACGGCTTTTGTACAGGAATTTTGTGTACCACGCAGCTGCTTGAGTTCTATCACGACATTTCACAATCGTTTGTTAAGGGCCGACAAGTTGACTGTATCTTTCTGGACATCAAAAAGGCCTTCGACATGGTTCCCCATGCTCTCCTTATGAACAAGCTTCACAAACTAAACATAGATTTGGAAATGTTTAATTGGATTGGCGATTACCTATATTCAAGAAAACAGACCGTGTTAATTAACGGTTTACAGTCCCCCTATATAGAGATAACATCCGGAGTTCCACGGGGGTCGGTACTTGGCCCTCTCCTTTTTTTTAATATATATTAATGATACAGTTGAAGGCGTCTCTTCGCATATTCGATTATATGCAGACGATTGCATTTTGTACATTGATGTGATCTGTGATGCTCAAGTGATTTAGGCAAAATTGATGACTGGTGTACCAAATGGCGCATGCCTCTAAACGAATCTAAATGTATTAGCGTTAGATTCACTACAAAAACTAAATTTATTCCTTCATCCTACAGTATCGCTGGTGTCTCACTTGAACTGGCATCAGAGGCTAAATATTTGGGAGTTATTTTTTCTTGTGATTTAAGATGGAATAGATATGATGAGTATATTACAGCGAAAGCAAGCCGGTCACTGGGATTTATTAACCGTAATTTTAGGATGGCTCCCCCATCTTTGAAGGAAGCATTATATTTTTCTCATGTGCGGTCTGTCCTCGACTACGCCAGTGAGATATGGGATCCGTTCAGTCAGAACCTTATAGATCAAACCGAAAAGGTACAGAATCGTGCTGCGAGATTTGTTACGGGTAATTATGATTTCAGAGCTAGCATAGCTCAACTTAAATCGTCTCTAAATTGGATGTCTCTGAGTCAACGACGGAAATTGTTCCGTCTCGAAATGGTACATAGAGTGTTTTACAACAATAGCGCAATTCGTGGACCAAGTACATTTTTGAACCTGCCAATGTATCAGAAAAAAATAGAGATAATTCAAGAAAATTTTGTCCATTTCACAGCAGAATTTTTACAAATGCTCTTTTTTTCCCGCGGTCCATTGAGGATTGAAATAACCTGCCAAGTTACATTGGTGAAACAGCATTGTCAGAGCTGTTTATTCAAAAAATGCAATGTTACCTCTAACTACCGTTGTGCATTACTTCTTCGATAATTGTATTGGACCTTGTGTTTGTAGTGTACAAATTTCATGTATGTGCCCCTCCCTACTATAATGCCTCTTCAGACGATGTAGGTATACAAATAAATAAATAAATAAACTGTCAGCGAGCCCGCTTCTTCATCCGTGAACTCATTTTCTATCTGGTTTAGTTCTCGATCAAACACTTGCATCACGCCCACGTTCCCCGGAAGTTTGGGAAGATCACATGGCCGTGTCCTTGTATTTTTTTTTCAGCATAAATGCTGATAGACGCCGATCTTTTTACCACACAAAAAGTAGACAGCTAAAATAGCAAAACAACAACAACAACAACACTGAACTCTCGAATTTTAGGAAAATTAATTTCCGAAAACACGGATCTCTTTCCATATATAGCCTCAAAAACATTTTTTTTTTTTTACAGCGGTATTTGTCTAGTTTGTAGTGAGACATTCGGCGGTTCAGCGCTCCATATCGACGCGAATCCTTTTCGACGCTCCTCCGAAACATTCCACGGGCAGCTGATAGCGAGATAACAAGCTTGCCAGATAACATCCATGGTCAGTAGAACAGACCACGCCGGGCAACCTGGCAGTCCAAGGTGCCCGTGGGACCCAGAATTTGCTCAAACAACAATTCTCGGGAGATACGCAGATAAAACTGCCTTAGAATATTACGATGCATTCTTTATCGGAAAGCAAGGCAAAAGCAAGTGCGGTAGTGTCTCGTCAATGCACTTGAGTGATTCAGCTTTACTTTCTAAACGAATTGCCAGAAAGATGGTAGTAATAGCTTGTGTTTGTTCCCCCACCTTCATTTGAGAGTGCACTTCGTCTTGTCTAGATCCTTATCTCTATTCATTCGGAGCTTTTCGTTTAGCTTGTGTGACCATTTGTTCGGAAGTGACGTACGAAAACTTATGCAGTCAACTGAAATGCTCTCTACCAAATACACCCTCATCGGCTTCCAAACGCTATGGAATTTTCGTCCGGTGTGTTACTCGGTTTAATACGGAACACCTATGCAGACTTTATGGTGCGCGCTCACACCTTTACCGTTAATTCGGCCCGTCTGCTCCGAAATGACACTTTAGCGGCTCCGATGTCACACCTCAGCAATCGTCGTGTTTCACCTAACGGGTTGCGTAAGTGTTTACAATATTTGTCTCTCCGTGTGATGGCCGAACACATAAAAATATAAATTAGAAAACAAAATTGCCCGAATCAAACGGATAAGCCTTGGGAGCACAAAGCGTGTGATGCATATATCATGCGTCCGGTCACAATTTGCCATACTTTCTATGTGAGTGTCCCAACTCAGTTTCATTTGGAACCACTCAACAAGAAACGTTTGTTCTGTAACTTCTTGTATGACTTCATTTTTAAAACGTATGGTGATGACAGTGCTATTGCTTACGTTGAATTGTGTGAAAATATTGCGCACTGTTTTGTAACTTTAGTTGGAGTTTGTTAATTTGAAGTTACATTGCCAGATTTACGAAATAGCTAAACGAAATAGATCCTGAGGACGCTTTGGAAGCATAAATGACGTGTCAGTGTCACTGTACGCATACGATAACTCCAAATCTTTCAAGATATTTGTGACATATTTTTTATACAGAGAATAAATACTTTTCAAAAGTCCATCAAGCATCATCGATGGTCGCCATTTCTTCTGCATGAAGGTTACGATTGGGTCCGAGTCTTCGCCGAACGGTTACGCAGCCCTCGTGTCCAATCAATGCTCAGAGTACAATTAAGCAAGCAATGGCGTACAGACGAAGGGGCGGCCTTTTGAAAAGGGTCTATTATCTGAAGCGAGAAGCGTCCGACCCTCCGTGTATTTCTAATGTTCTATCCCGGACACTGGTTAATTCATTTTACGCTTTCCTGGTATCAATACTTAACACAGTGAAATCGAAAAAAATACTCGCTCGATTATGGAAAGCTATTTTACAATTAGACGTCACTTTTCTTTTATTTCAGTATCTGCGAATGCGATTCGGGAACCAAGTTGGCATCACAGCTTGCTCCTTGTACTTCATCCTCAATGTAAGTAGTTCTGAAACTGTCATAGATTTTTTAGACATTTTCTCAAAACGTAATTTTTACAGCATAAAGAAAAAGTGGTTCGTCATTTCACTGGGTTCATAAAGCTTCCATATGAAGTCATTCGTGTATTTTAGGCCCATGGGCGTGCGGTTTGGCGCGGCTTCAAAAGCTCATAACGCCGATTCGGTCCATTGGGCAGTTAATGCTTTCGCATTAAAACTTTTTTATATATGAAAGACTTCGTACGCTTCCATTACCGCGGCAGCTTATGCAACCGCAATTTTTACCGAGAAACGCACGCGGGGAGCGCTACGTGCTTATCATCGTTCGCGCGCACTTTAAAGTACATCACGTGATTTTGACACACTTGTGGTTGCTTTATTAAAACAACAGTGAAAACCTCTTGATAAATGATAAGGCGCACGTGAACGGTGATAACGCGCGCGTGATGGTTTTCTGTCGACTGACAAGAAAAAAGAAACGCGACGTACGAGTCATATGAACCTTAGCTGTAAAATAACTAAACATCGTATTGAAAAAAGGGGGAAAAAACGCACGGGCTGGTGGTATTTATCTTATAAAAAAAAAAACTCTTTTTATGCCAAACGCTACCAGGTGGTGCTCCAGTCGTTGACATACTAGAGTGCCTTCATACACACGCGCGCTTTTGCTTGAGTGGTGACATCTCAGCCATTTTTCCGCCCAATCGTTTTTTTATGCATTTTGAAGTGCGTGCAATCCGGTGTCACTGAGCTCGAGCACGTAGCTTTGTCTAATGCATAGATGCCATTTTACCGCCCAAGTTGCTCACCGAGTGCGCCAGAGCGTCACGCGCTGGCACATTCAGGGCAACAATGGATGTCTTCACCTTGGACAGACAGACAGGTAGGCACCCTATGACGTCCTAGAGAACTCCCGGTTCACAAAAAGAATGAATAAAACCCACCTTAACACCGCTGCTTGAAATGTCGATGAAACATTTAACCACCAAGGCTCCAGGTGAACGCACAAAGAAGTAGAAGATATGTTAACATTTTTTGAATAACCTTATAAATGAGCTTGTCTCCTTCAAAACGTTAAAGGGACCATGATATGACTTTTCAACTTCTTCCTCCTTAGCTATTTTCCTGAACTCAAAAACGAAACGAGAACTCACGCGGTCGTGAAGTGCTTGGGCGCCGGAGGCGATGACTCGAAGCTTCCGCTCTATTTTTAAGCACACTATGGAACTTGTCATTCTCAAGTGATGGTAAGTGCCATCAAGGCACTCTTTGGCCACAAACGCGAATTCAAATATTCGTTGACGGCTTGATCGTTGACGACCACATAGGACCGTGTGACGCAGTGCTTGCATCCAACACGGCTTTTTCGCTCGGCTGGGAGAACTTACATTTCCGGTAGAGAGGCATGCTTTACGTCACGGTCACCTGATTTCACATGTTGGTGGGCGAGTCCGGTTGAGTCGAGGAGAAAAGTCGACGTGAGTTTTCATCTTTTTTTTGTGCAAAACTGGGGCAATAAAACGAATACGGATTTGTGCTCCGGGTTCTATGTACATTCAATGTTGATTGCAATCTTCATTTGGAAAACGCTGAAAAATAATTTCATGGTCCCGTTAAAGTGTACAGCCGAAAGCCCTCGTAAAATATCTAACTTTGTTGTCCGTGTAGCATGTGTGATTTCTAGCACTGCTGCACTAGTGAAATAAGCAAACTCGACGGGTTTGCAAACACGGAGTGACCGGAAGTCGTTTAGGACGCGAGCGGAGGTTCATGTTTGTAAACAGTAAAAGGGTCTATTTGCGTTGAAGAGCTCGCGAGAGGCGCTTCTGTTTTCCACACTCTAAGTAGTGCACGTGCTACCCACGTGGTAACGTTTTAATTTTCATAGTGCATAAAAGCTTGGTATTGCATGCGCTTGCACCAGCAAAGGAAGTTGAAGTACGCTCACTCTGTGTTGTGACAAAAAGTTCCACCAGGCTGCGATACACAAACTTCTCGCCACGAATACGCTCGTACATATTGCATTCAAGATGGGTTAATACCCGCGTTTTGCGAAAATAGCACGAAACAATGTTCATATTGGCGACGTGCGTGACCGAAATGTCGCTGTGATCGCCCTGGTATGATTGACCTAACACTCGCGGTGACGTCTTGAGTAGGATTACTTTTTCCGATCATGAACGGAAATAAGAAAAAGGTCGGACTCTCAATTCTGACGGTGTCGAGTAAGGAAGGTAATAATTCTAGGCTTCCGTTGCGCTTTTTATGTACCACCAAACTTGTTGCTCGCTACTAAGAGTCTTGGTCGTGACGTCAGGAATAAGAGTCATAAAAGGGAGCCACCGAAACATATCCTCGCCATATTCCGCGCAATGTCTAGTGGATTTTCTCCCCTTTTACAAGCGATTTTGTCTCTTATTGGTTCCATTTAACTCCGTGCAACCGCGCAGGGGCAAGCATTTAGTGCAACCAAGCGACGGCTACTTCGCCCCCTAAGTAATAGTAACTAGCGGTCATTTTAAGTTATAACATTTTTTCCCCTACGTTGACGAAGAAGCCTAAGAAATCGGTAGCGTTCATTTTCTCGTATATCACCTGGAAGAGTCGATCGCTAAAATCCACGAAGAAAGCTCGGCGAATAAGGATGCGGCAAATGTGTTGGAAAAAACCCCAAAAAATGGGAGTGCGCTGTCACACACATCACAACGTTTGACTACTCTCATTATCCCAGCGCAGATTCTTTTTTTTTTGTCAGGTTTGCACTTATTATTAGCAGTGATTCCAACTAAAAAAGTCAGAAACCCGCGATAGAAATTCCAATAGAAAACAACTGAAACCGTTAAGTTATAAGTAAAGAGCAAGAATTACTCTTTTTAAGCAAATTTCTTTACCCCCTAAAATCCCAGTATACCTTTTCACTATCTGGATTGTGGAACTGCGGAAATCTAAGTGGTACTGTTTCTGGAAACCAAAAATTGAGATTGCAGACAAAGAAATCATTTCTGCAAAAACCTAAAATCAAGATACAATCCAGATAAATTCCCAGTTCCATAATCCCGATAGCAAAAATATTTACTTTTTTTTTGTGGGGCTACTGCTATAATTAGTCTAATAGAAAATTCACAAATAAAGTAATTCATAAATAGAACTACGATTATTTGACACAGGATCCCATCCACGCACATAATTATGTCCATACTGCATGATCCTGATGCCACCAGGTGTTACTAGGTGTGGTCTTGCCATGCACCTTCATCGTTCCTATCTTTAATGCATTATTTGATACCCCAACGACAAACGTCACACGCTTTTGCGAAGGTATCTAGGGTATCTGACTCGTCTATCGTCTGTTGGTACTTCCAGTAAGCAGTCTCGAAGCTTAGAATCATATATCCCCCATGCTGTGTGAATTTGTTCGCATAGTACACTGGGCCCATTTCGTCTGGCCGAGTTGGAGAAATAATGTATACGTTCTCGCATAAATCAACTAAAAGCATATGTTATTAAGTGTGCCACTCTAATATCTCAACGGCGTCGCAAGTGTCACTCTCATTGAAAACAATTTGCTGACAGTAAGCAAAGATGGCGACTACATGACTCTAACTTACCACAAAAAAAAATAAGTTATTTATGATTCATAAATGAAAGCTCGGAAACAATTTAGACTGCTAGACGAAAAATGTTAACATGGCTTGAAAAGCGCAAAAAATAACGCCGCCCACAAAATGGCAATTTATCCAGCTAGAGGATTCAGAAAATGGCTAGATTAAGCGGAACCCTAGTGAAAAAAGTCATTTGTATGAGAAATTTCTTGTGTCCAATAAACACATATGAATCATACAAGATATATGAGAACATATAAGAACCGAATAAGAACTATATAAGAACTGTACAAGAACCATACAAGATATATAGGAACCATATAAGAAACTTATAAGAAACTTCTCTCAGGTTTCTTATTTGATGCATGCATGTTCTTATATCTCTTGTGTAGTTCTTATATAGTTCTTATATGGTTCTTATATGTTCGTATATATCTTGTATGATTCATGTGTGTTTATTGGACACAGAAATTTCTCATATATATGAGAATTTCCAATAGGGAAAGACCACTAAATTCGCAAGAGTTATTTTCAGCCTTGTATTGTGCATGGCGATTGGATCTGTCATGCTCTTTGCTGGAAAGTAGGCGCTCCCGATTTCTTACAGAGAAGTCTTGGGTTTCCCCTCTACCGGATGTCTGCAAATGCTCATCCCGATCATTTACACGGGAAACGAAAACAACGCACTTCGTCTAAAGAACAACAACAACAAAACAAGTTGACATCTTACGTAGGCAGAGGCGCAGTGCAGCTCGCCTTTCCTTATTCCAAATGCCATCTGTGGGAAAGGTTGTCAATATTAGTGCATCGTCTATAGTCTCAGCGAGAAATGCGCGTTGAACTCTGAACTATAAGACAACATCATCCCCATGGTATTTCGGAGATGCTTTTTCCGCTCCTACCGACTTTTTTGTTTGTTTTCTCATTGTTTTGTTCGCAGTTATTCATTGTTCAGATATTGAGAATGCGAAAAAAAAGATTTAAAAAAAAGCGAGGCATTTCAACTTTACAAAATAAAAAGCAAAGTAAAAATTAGCCGCAGTCGCCGCTAAAATGTGAATACCTTCCAATGTCGTGGCGAGAGCAAAGCGACGTCTTCCCGCATACTGCAAGCTCTGCCATTTGATACGCGTCGGCCACGTAGAAAAGGTCTACGCACGTTTACGGTCGGTCAGTCGCCTTCGGGCGCTGCTATTTTCCTAGTGGTGCTAAAGAATTTCACCTTCTTCAAGTCTTGCTAGGGCACAATAAGTGACAAATTGTCATACTTTTTTTCGTTTACAGTGACAAAAATAGTCCTAGGAGCTCGGTCACTCGCAAACCTGTATACTTCATTGATATTACAAAGTGCGCGCTGCAATTAAAAAATAATCTAAACTGGTTTCTTAACTTCAATTCCCACAACACGTGCGGTCCATGCAAAAATAAAAAAGAAAGAAAAAAAAAAGAAAGAGAAGCTACACAGCACGAATAAGTGATCGCTGATTTTTCTTGTTCTTCTTCAAGAAAGTAAAAGAGTGCTAAAAAGAACAGTAGCCTGGAGAAAAGAGCTCATTCGGGAAACAGACCTAACCATTAAAACGCGTAGCCCGCCATTTAAATGTAAAATATTTATCTTTGGTCACCAGTGTTATTTGTGAGCAATGCTGCGCTAGAGACGGCGGCATCTTCTCCCAGTGCGTTATCTGAAAAAAACTCATGTTGCTTGAAATGTTGTTGTGTGTTCTGCAATTCTCAAATCATCTATTTAACGAACGCGATCCACTTCCTTGTTGTTGCTGTTGTTGTTGTGGTTCTTTCTTTTTTTTTTGGAAATCAATTGCACAATGAAGATTATGTTTTACAAAAAAGAAAAAGAAAACAAGTTCATGCTCGAAGTGGTATTGGGTCTGAACAACAAATTTCCAGAACTGTCAATTGTTGTCGAATAAACTAGCGTTATGCCTCTGTTCCCTTGATATTACGTACGCCTTTCAAACCACAAGCATTTGAAATTAAAAAAAGTGTCGCATTTATGCGGCCAAGCAGAATTTCTAACTGGCATTTGGGTAATATCAATAGAGAATATGTACTACAATAGACGATATGCGTAGAGCCCCTAGAGCCCCTGGTTGCCGGTACTTTCTTAAAAGTACCGGCAACCATTCTGTATCAACGCGCAAGACACGTGCCACGAGTGGATGCTCCTCCACCATTCGCTTCCAAGGGACGCTAATTTCAGTGCTACGCCGCCATTTGCTTTTAAGGGTCACTCGATACACGAGCCTCGTACTCATTCGCATTTGACGCTACTTAAAAGAAAAAACACAAGCACACTGAGGGAATTAGCTATGCGTAGAGTTCCTCGACATACTTCACCGAAGGAAGAGCAGAGTTGCGCATTTGTTTTCTCCGAGCCGCCACACCGCTATTCGCCGAGATCGATCACGCGAGCAGCAAAGCATCCAGTGCCTTGCAGGGAAGCCAGCGCTACGTTCGCTCCGCCGGCATTGCACGCGCCCTGGCGTGTGTTCCCCAGCTTCCGCCTCCTCCTCCTCCTCCTTTTCTGTTTTCCGTGCGCGGCGACGCGGAAAGCGTCGTTATTTGCTGAATTATGTCACGTGACGAGCGAAGCATCCAGGGCCGTGCAGGAAAGCCGGCGCTACGGCCACCCGCCGATGCTGAATACGCAAGCCTGCGACCGTATGTCGCTAAATACAGAAACTCTGGATATGCGAAATGTAGAGCGTTATCGCACCGAGAACTACGTCTGTCATCTTGGCAGCAACAAGAAAACGAATAGCGAGTTCGTTTCACAAGCACTGTCACCGTTCGAGTTCTCTCCCAGAATGCATCGCACCTGCGGAGTGTCGCACGGAGAACTAGCGTCAAACCTCCACAAACGAACTTGCCAAATCCACCGAGTGCAGAAGACTGATGCTGCCGCCATCTATGTTGTAGAAAGGGTACCGATCTCAAACCGAAACTAGCGCCTTTCTGCTAGGAGGGATGGGTGGAATGCGAGAGTGCAGTTGCTACCAACGTTTATCCATAAATGCTGGTCGCTGCAACCTGTAGTTTTTGTTTGCGATGACTTCCAACAACTCGGCTGTCGTAGAGATGTTTACAGACGGCGTAAATTTCCGCAACCAGCTGACTCCAAAGCAGCTGGGGTTTCCACTGGAGAAAACTGCTGATGCTGTCCGCGCAGAAGCTTGATCTGTGTGAGCATGGTATTATGCGCTGAAAGGTTACAACTTAAAACTAGTCGTTTGAATTTACAGCAAACATTTTGTGGGACTTTCGATTTCGATCGTAATTACAGGTGGATCGGGTTTTAGCTTTGGTGAGGGCGTCGCGCTGCTGCGTTCTGCTGAGAAAGTAGCGATATACCTTCGACTTGTGCGTGACGTGGACGCAAGCGTGAACAGGATTCGCATTCTTTTATTTTTAGAGCGCAGCTCGTAGGCGCCCGTTTCCGGCTTGAGCGGCGTCGCCGTCGGCGTAACCGCGCGGTGCATTATGAGTAAATTTCCCCGCTAAATTTAGCGGAAAATCTTCCCGCTAAATCTAGCGGAAAATGTCACCGCTAAATCTAGCGGAAAAATTTCCCCACTAAATTTAGCGGAAAAATTTCCCCACTAAATCTAGCGGAAACCTTTCTCCGCCAGATTTAGCGGAAAAATTTCTCTGGGAGGTGACGTGACCACCCCCTCAAGGTCACGTGACCTACCATGTCACGTGACCCCCCCAGGTCACGTGCCCCCCCCCCAGGTGGAGGAGCAGGATGAGGAGAGGAGGGGAGAAGTAGCAGGCAGGATCACAAGGGAGGAGGAGGGAGGAGGGGTATACCCTCCCCTCAGAACACTTCCCTCCTCCTCCTCAAGAGCTGCGCTCGAATTCGGTGTTACAGGGAGTTGTAAACTGCTTTCCGTTTCCGTTTCCGGCTTGAGCGGAGTCGCCGTCGCCGTCGGCGTAACCGCGCGGTGCATTATGGGTAAATTTTCCCGGAAGAACCCGAGGTCCTCCAGAAAAACCTCGGGTTCCTTCGGGGGGACATCGGGAGAGCCTCGGGTTCCTTCGGGAGGACCTCGGGAGGACCTCGGATTTCTTCGGAAGGACCTCGGGAGGACCTCGGGTTTCTTCGGGAGGACCTCGGGTTCCTTCGGGAGGACCTCGGGAAAACCTCGGGTTCCTTCGGGAGGACCTTGTGAGGACATCGTGTTCCTTCGGGAGGACCGCGGGTACCTTCGGTGAAATCGGGTAGGGGGTTCACGTGACCCTGGGGGGGGGGGGGGAGGGGTCACGTGGTCACTTGACCTCAAGGGGGATCATGTCATCCCCCTTCCCAATGTCACCGAAGGTACCCGAGGTCCTCCAGAAGGAACCCGAGGTCCTCACGAGGTCCTCCCGAAGGAACCCGAGGTTTTCCCGATGTCCTTCCGAAGGAACCCGAGGTTCTCCCGAGGTCCTCCCGAAGGAACCCGAGGTCCTCCCGGGGTCCTCCCGAAGGAATCCGAGGTCTTCCCGAAGAAACCCGAGGTTCTTCGGGAGGACCTCGGGTTCCTCGGGGAAAATTTACCCATAATACACCGCGCGGTTACGCCGACGACGACGGCGACGCCGCTCAAGCCGGAAACGGTCGCCTAAGAGCTGCGCTCTAAAAATGAAGCCGTGCGCCATTTGTATTGTTATTTACGACGCCGAAAATACTTAAAATTTGGGATTATACTGTATAGTGGCGGGGAATACCTATAATTTGTAACATATATTATGTTATATTTCTTCAATAACTTGATGCACGTAAACCAGAAACAAAAGTTATCCAAAGAGATGACAGAGTTTCGCAAGGTCCTTCGAAAGTAAATTTTATATGGCGTGAATGCCATATTCAATTGTTGTGTTACAGAATGTAAAGCCACTTAACGCAATTTAGACTAGCTGTTTAAAAAACAAAAGTGCGACGCTCACGACATAACTTTTTTTAATTGAAACAATTGAATGGATTTGTCCCAATGTGTTGCTCTTTGTTTTCTCACAGCAAGTACAAGGAGCAGTGAGCATCTTTGCTGCGGGAGTGGCGATTGCGACATGTGAGTGATCAATCGGTTACCTCTCGCGTATCGTTTTAACACAAAACTTATTTTAGGCTCGTTACCAAGCCTAGCGCGATACGAAACGTTGTAACGAAAGCTCTGCTAACACGGCCAGTTGTGTTTACCAAACGCTGTGTTCATAAGAGGGATATGAAACCACAGACATCTCGCTCAGTTCTCTGATACCCTACACTCTAAGAAATGCCTGCACGTCTACTTACCCGCAAAACGCTCAAAGAGCCAATCTCTGTGATCTACGAATTCAGCTCATCGAATGATGAGGCGCAACATCTGTTTAACCTCAAAATTAAGTCCGCGCTGTGACATAACGTAATGCAAGCATGACGCTTTACATTGCGTAATGCAGCAGCGTAGACTTCATTTTAGGTCTAAACCTATGTTCCGCCTCATTATTCGCTGAGCTGATTTCGTAGATTGTAGAGATTGACTCTTTGAGTGCTTGGCGGGTAAATAGACGCGCGGGCATTTCTTAGAGTGTAGAGCACAACGGAGCAACAGCGCATGCTCAGAAGGCGTTACACAGCCCAGAAGAAAAATATAAAAGCGCGCAGATGGGGATATTTGGAATGGTCTATACCCTCGGGCTAGCGGGGCGTCTTTTTCGTATAGCTTTAATACACAAATAAAACACAAACGTCTCGTTATTACAATTCATGTAAATTCAATACTGTCATAAATCAAACCTCTCACTTCTCTTGGTATGAAACGTGCAAAACCGCTCGTACTCAACAATATCTGGATCAGAGAGTAAGAAAACACAAGGATGAACTTGTAGCACAAAAGTTTAGCAAACGGATTCAACTTCATTGTCGTCTCACCAGGAATTAAAACTATTAACATGGCAGGAAACGTATCATACACTGCTTCGCGAACTGGCTCTACTTATAGAAATTAACATATGTTTTGAAAGAGGGATAGGTTAGACACGCTCTTTAATTTGGGAATTTTTATAAAACAGGAGACATTGAATGTGGTTGTTCAGCCTTATTATATATTCTGCGGCATTTCCACAGCCTATACAAACGTAGAAGCAGGAATAACTCGTTAAAAAGAAGTTCACATAGTTCAACAGGAAGAAATCATGACGTATCTTGTGAAATTGATGTCCTTTTCGCAGTTCGTTCAAGAACAGGCCCCCAACGACTGCAACATTGCTGCAAATAAAGCAATGTTGTGTAGTGTCAGGTTTGTTGCATGGTCGATAGTTGATTGACCATGGCACGAAAATCATCCCTCCTAAAGGCATCGTTTGAGGGTTATTATGTTACACTATATCATTATAAAAAAAGCCTTTGCGCTGCGTGATTTAAGAGTTTTTTAAACGTTGCAAACCATTTTGTCCTGCAGTGTCACTAAACGCTGACCCATAACTTGGGAGAGGAAAAAGGTTTTCCACTGACGCTTCAGAAAAATGTTTCCATAAAGCGCTGAACAAATATTGAGAAAACAAATAAACACATCCGCAAGTAATTCCCCAAAGCACAAAGCCTGCATGGATCAACGCCCATAGATGTAACTGTCGTAAATGGTCGATGTGACATGAGTCTTGTTTGATCAAGAGCTAGCAGAGAATGATGTGTCCTATTTCTAAAGAAAAACAGCCCAGTAACCAGTTGTCGCAGAAATGAACAAGCCAGTCCTAGGTCTCCACAGTCAAGAGGGAAAAAAATGATTCCGACTCATCCGTCCTTAGGAGCAACTTTTAATTAAAGTGGCTAACAGGCAATGAAATTCATGTACAGGTCGATTAACGCAATGTCACACGTAATAACTTTCAATGGAAGAAAAATATAGCACACGCACTCCAGCCTTGGTCAAGATAGAAAACTCTCGCCCTTTCCATGCATAGGCCTTATGTTTCAGAGCAACTAACATCCAGCAGTCTCCCGTGTTCCTAGATTGATTAAAAGGCAGATCTGGCGAAATTACTTTAAGTTTAGAATCAAATTGCGTTACTAATTACTGTGCTTGAAACGGTTAAAACATAATTAAATTACATTACAAATTACCAGGACAGAAAGGTAATTAATTACAATTACAACTTACTTAAAAAGCAAAAAAATTACATTCAAATACCTTTTTAATTTCGCTACACAAACAGAAGCAATCGTTTCTTTCTACGAATAATTTTATTTACAGTATATATAGAAAACTACAAGCAGCCGGTATACAAAACGGCTGCTTGCTTTGTTTCCCTTCTCCGGCATATATCCACGAAATAAAGAAAAAGAAAGATAACACCTTCCTCCTCCTTCCCTTGCAACTAGCAATATAAAAAGATCCTTCTGGCAAACGCTTGGCAGTAGTTCCACAATTATGAAACTCTTTTTTTTCTTTTGAACTCGTCCTGCCCTCAACTTATCCCCTCTTGAACATCCTGATCAGTGAAGAAAATACGAGACCTGTGGGTGTAGTATCCCGGAAAAAAGGCTCGAAGTACACCTAAGCACTTATGAGTTGTGAATGCGAAAGCATGAATGCCGTTCTTCGCGCCGCGGCCGCTTCTGATCTTCTCGGCGCTCTCGGCGCCTCGGCCGTTTCTGCTCCGGCGCGGGCACGCAGCGCCATGGGGTGGCGCTAACTGAAACTGACGCGCATAGGCTTCATATCACTAAACCTTTGCGTGGCTTTTTGCGTGATTTCAAAGCTGGGATGCCTGAGATCGCGGTTTATGGAATTGATCAGCTGTTAGGCGCGGCTGATGACGTCGGCTCGCTCCATGGGACAGTTAATGCATTCGCATTAACAACCCGCTCCAGGGCTAGTGCCCAGCTGTCCCGAGGCCTGTTCGATTTTATCACACCCTTGCACAATCAAAGATGCCTTCTAGCTCTAGATTGATTGTGTCAACCTTTGCATCCGGAATTCGTCGCAAGTTTGTAACTTTTGATCACAAAGGGGCAATCACCTTGTTTTTTTTCGACATGAAGCCTTTTCGAGAAACCCCGGCACTGTCAAAATGTGTGTGCCTAGGGTAAAGTAGCATCTGCGGAATGCTGCATGCGTCTCTGGCCTGTACAATCCACATGACTAGGCAGAGCCTTGCCACAAGTCTGCTTACCATGATGATCTCAGGAGCGAAAGAACAAGATTTAGTCATTTCCGTCTTGCATTAAGTTCCTGTTCAGTTTTATATTTTATTATCTTTTACCTCTGAAGTACACTACCAGAGTGTGTCCGAGCGCTCGCAATCAAGCTATTGTACACTTCTCAAAATGCTTGTGGTCTTCGAGATGCGTCCCTCCATGAATCATCTAACGCAGTTCTTTCATCTCCTTTTTTTCACTTTCTTTTTTTTAACTCTTTGCCCAGAAATGTATTAGCTCCTAAGGTGCCCTTCAGTTTTGCAGTGTTCAAAATATGCTTGAAGCTAAAAAGTAATTCCAACATTTAATTGAAATTACTTCCACAGAGTACTTTATTACATTACTAAGTTACCTAACCGAAAAAGTAATGATTACATTACTAAACACTGTCAAAGGTAATAAACCACTGTAATTACTTTACAGTAATTGCATTACTGCCACCTCTGTGAAGATGTGCGCGAAAATATGAAATTGATGGTTGATTGCACTTTATTCCTGGAAATGTTTGTAGAGCTGTTCCCTACACGCTCAACCAAATGCGCCTAAATTTTTGCAGTATTTTCTGATTCGCCCGTGAGCGCCCAAAATCTTGCCGTTACACGAATTGCTCTTTCCACACTTTCCTTACAAAAAAAAAAAAAAAAAAAGAAGCCACCTGGTAGGTTTCTTTTTTTCTTGCTTAACGTGTTTATCTTTTTTTTTTTTCATAAAAATCTTAGCAATGATAATCAGTTTACCTTTGAAAATACTCTTTGGAGATTGTTATTGCAGCTTACTATACTCTTTTTCACGTTAATAATGACAATTTCAAATATTCTTTTCCAAAATGGTTCAGCGGTTCCTGGATATCGCAGGTAAATGGACGCGGAATTCACGTACGTATTCATAATAGAAGGCGAGGCGAAAAACAAAACGAAAACCTTTCTTTATCTTACACAGCAGTGAGAGTCACCGAAGGGCCGTCAGTACAGACATTGTACAGCGTGTCTCCCACTCCAAAAGAACACAATTACAGGGTTTTGTTTTACTGCTAAACTAAACTACGCAGCCCCATAGCTCATCCTGCGCCAAAATGTAACGCTAGTGGTGCGAAACCCATGTAAAGGTCTTAGAACTAACCGTTATTCCATTCAAAAGTAATGTTTGTTTGTTTTCTTTTTAAACCAAACGTTCCTTGTTTTTTTTTTTCAGTTTTGGTACGAGTTTTTTTTTTGTTTTTTTTTTACACTTCTGAGAGTGGAACGCGTCTTATTTTTACATATTCGTATAAAATATTGTGCCGAATAATCCACCGATAAAATGAAGCAAGGGAGCGAAAATACCCACGTCCAACAATATGTCCTGTGCGTCACGATCACATATGTTCTAGTTCCTTGTTCTCGACTGTCTTTCAAACAGTTCCCCTTCGCCGGAAGTCGGAGGTTGAAATAGTAGAGGATAAAAAATCTCCGAGGACACCTAAGCACTTCTCAGGAGTTGTGAATGCGAAAGCAGGAATGTCGTTCTTCCGCTCGTTCTTCCGCTCGTTCTTCCGCTCGTTCTTCCGCTCTCTTAGTTTGTCTGCGACGTACTGGCGTGGACAAGCCACGTTTCGCTACTGCCGTGGTAGCGGCCGACGGCCGAGCGCGGGCTCTCGTGAAGTGACCGCGCCGCGCTGAGCTCGACCGAGCAACATCTCCGGAGTTTTCCCGTGCAGGCTCTGTTCCCTCTTACCGGCGGCCGGGCCGATGCGTGCGCTGCGCCGGCATGCAGAAGGATTCTCTGGTGGCGTGGCTTGGAACTACGCCACGCGAGCGCCAATGGGAGCCTCGTTCCTTGAAACTATGACGTGCACCAGGCAATGGGAATTCAGTCATGAGATTTCTGCTACAGACGACAGGCTTCGCTCCATTGGGATAGGGGAAGGGGCCATTTGGCTCGGCCTCAAAAGCTGATGACGTCGGTTCGCTCCATGGGGCAGTTAATGCTTTCGCATTAAACACCTAAATGCCTACTAAATTTGGGTGACAGTACAGAAATAGGACACGGAAAAAAAAGAACGCCGTTCCTTCTGCTGCTTCCTCGAAAATGTTCCACGTTTCCGTTTCAATTACACCGACGCAAGACGGTAAGGCGTTCCTTCGTTCCTCCCAAGAAGGAACATGCTCCGGGACCGTCGTTCCTGTGAGGGCCGTACTGTACAACACTGGTTCTTGGGATAGCTGGCGGGATTTAGCCTCATGTACTCGAGAGCTCTGTCGGCTGCTATTTTCCCATTTAAAATCTAAGAAATCACTTGTAACTTTTGAATAAAATAGCAGTTAGTTATGAAACTAGGGCATCTGGTTTGTACCACTAGCGATACATTTTGGGCGGAGAATGAGCTTTCGGCGATGCGTAGTTTATCTTTGCGGTAAAAAAGAAGCAAAAAAAAAAACTTGTAAATTATTTCTGGGACTTTTTGTTTGACGTGCCTTTTGACGGAGTCCGGCACAGTCAGTTCATGAACGAGAAAACGCGAGCTCGAAAAGGTCTTTATAAATATGTCTTGGCAGCGAAAGTTAATGTGATGTGGCAAATTACTAAATGATGCCGGTACTGTACTTCATCTAGATTGCGTTACCAGTATCACCCCTCGGGTTAAGAAAAAAACACAACCAATGTACAGTCGCGATCAAAGATCAGTGCAAAACGCGCAAGTACGGGTTGGATTTTTTTTTTTTTTGGCAGAGCGAGAGCTGGTAGTCAATCGGTGTAAGTATATTGTCACGTGACACAGCTTCACTTGATGTGTGATTGGGAACTATATTAATCTCATCATAATATCAAGAATTAGCATAAGCAATAGTAACCCTTCATTACATCACTTGCTGGTTCCCGCTAATCTGGTTTAAACTGCCCTCTGGTGCGGAATTTGAACTACTATTAACGTATTATTGATATCATATATATACTTTTTAAATTTATGCACCATTGATTACTTTTTCTTTTTACTATGTGTAAGTGCGTGAGCAAACTAACTTCAGAGCTCCGTTGTTTTCATTTTGTATTTTTTAAAGGCACTTCAAATGAATGCTGCAGATATCTGAAGTTTTACTGGAAAAAACTGAGCATATTAGTTAGATAGGCTCCGCAGCTGATTTGAGAACAAACTGCACTATAAGAAACTGCAAGTGTCCTCCTTAGTAAGAACAAACATGGAATGAAAGAAATGTTGACGGTGCCTTTTTGTTGCAAGTAATTATTAAAAAGGTTCCAGAATGTTTTTTTTTTTCATTTCTTTTCAAACAAGTGTTATTTTTATTTAAAAGGGGGGTATTGGTGTTATCATTTTGTGTACGATTCTGTTTAACCGTAATAGCGCTCAATTGGTTGTTCTACTGTGGTCATTAAAAGTTCAATGAATCTTGTTTCTGTTTCTTTTTTTTTTTTTCTGCATTGAGCGATTTCGAGACAGCCCAGAAAGGCTGTCAATATTGTAAGTAGTTAAATAAATAATGAATTCTTCATATTTCAGCCTTCCACGTGCCCTTGGTATGGAGCATCGTGGCAATTGGAATCACTGGTACCTTCTACACCGCGCTGGTGAGTTTAAGCCTTGATTTGCACCGAAGACCATTGCTATGTCGTTAGTGGTGCAAAACTATCGATTGTAGTATCGATCGTCGACTATCAAAAAACTATCGATAGAACTATCAATAGTCGACTATCGAAAAGCTATGGATAGTACTATCGATAGTCGACTATCGGAAAATTATCGTTAATCGACCATCGGAAAACTGTCGATAGTACGGTCGACGGTTTACTAGTTTTGCGACACTAGTAAATTGCGTCGCTCCCTCTCCTCTTTTTCTCGATTCTTTTTTTTTTCAAATGGGACACCAACTAGCCCCAAGCACTTACCATCCCCACTTTGGTTCAGCTTTCAGTGATGACGAAGACGGAGTTTGGGCGAAGAGAGGAGGAAGGGAGGCGAGCGGCGGTGCGGCAACTGTGTTCGCTCCGCACGCGAGTACTACTACAAACTAGCGGTGCAAAACTATCGATAGTACTATCGACAGTCGACTATCGAAAAACTATCGATAGTACTGTCGATAGTCGACCATTGATAGTTCTGGGACACTACCGATTGTTTTGGAAAAGCTATCGATAGTATCGACAGTCAATGTATCGATCGTTTTGAATCATATATGACCATGACCGCGGTGGGGCTGCCGTGGACTTTTGTGAAACCTTAAGCTCAACAAAATGTTTTCGTTCGAAGGTTCGCCGACATTTTGTCGAATGTAATGGCCGACTGGTTCGGCGAGTCTTCAAAGTTTTGGTAAAGCTTGAGAAAAAAAAAAGAGTTAGACTTTTCAACAATGTTTACACTACCCTAGCAAAAAGAAAAATTGAAACTTTCGGGAAAAAAAAATATTTTATGCGGTAGTTCCTTTTATACGTTTACGTACTATAGAGAAAAGCACATAAAAGTTTAATCATTTTGTTTATTCTTTCACGTAAAACAATAACTGTTTTCAATTTAGGCGCGTTCGGAATATGGTGAACGAACTTAATCGAACTTTCGTCGAACTTAGTGGTAAACGTTCGATGACGTCAAACCTGGCCCGAAGTAGAGCTTCGGCTGATTCGCGACATCTCTATAGACGTTTTCCAGCTCTATATCAAACGGGTCAAAAATGCCGAGTTACTGAGCTGTGGACGCACGCAGCAGCGTCTGATAACACCGCACAACCAGACCTACGGCGCGTGCTCAGAACGCCTTCCCCAGCCCAGTATACTGGGCTGGAGAAGGCGTTCTGTGGGCAGCCATCTTTGTCTATAGACAGAGATGGCTGCCCACAGAAGGCGATAATATTGAAAAGGTCCGTGGTAACTGCCAGCGTAAGAATGGGCCAGACGAGGCGAGTCTCAGTTAACCTCTTGCCGCTCCGTAGCCTGTGAGAGAGTATCATTGGCCGACAAAGGAGAAACGAATAACCAATCACGAAGCCGAAAGCGTAAACATAATGAGCATCGCCCCTGTGTTCCTCAAGTCGCGGTCATACCGCTATAATACATCGTACAAGAGGCAGTCTGCAGAGACTGTCTGAGACGTGCTTCTTCCTTTTGAGACAGTCCAGTCATGGCTGTCCCGCAAACACTGAATTTGGACGTGTCCGAAACGTACCCAAAACGCTTGAACCTTGTGCTAGAGATACCTGCAGCGGAAAGCAATGTCTTTTGTGTATGCGGGGCACAAGTTCGTCGGTTTCTTGCACAAAGGTTCCGATAATGGAGTCAGAGCCAATCGGAGCTCGGCGTCTCTCAGACGTCACTGCAACCCCTGCACGAAAAGCAGACGAACTTGCGTTCCGTATAGTCACTGGTTTGTTCAATCACTAAAACAGAGTTGTGTCCCACTATCTTCCAGGGCGGCCTCCGAGGCGTTGTCTGGACGGACACTCTGCAAGGCATCCTCATCCTCGTCTGTCCACTGACGATCCTCATCAAGATCGCCTACGATTCGACCTTCCAAGAAGGCCTCAATCTTCGTCCTATCACCGACATCAATTTAAGGCCGTACCTCTTTCAGTAGGTTAAAAAAGAAAAAAAAACTTTCTAACGCGGGCCGAAAATAATGATCAAATTTGGTTAATTAACCCGAATATCTACTTCGAGAGGTATCAAAATGATGGGACATTATTCTGTCAAGATTACGAGTAGCAAACAATAGATGCTCTTAATTTAGTTGAAGAGTTTCGCGCTCCACAGTAGCTCAGACATTAAATGATGTTCCATTTGACAGGATGTCTAAGCCAGAAAAATTTTCATTGTTTGTATTGTAGTTTCGCTCAACCTGTGCAGCGGATTTGGTTTTAATGACCCAGGTGAAAAAGCTCGCGCAATTCGTAAGAACCTTAAATCGCGTCGTAGTAATGACAGACACTAGTCCCGCTCAATTCGTCACAATTGCTTCCCGACAAGTAAGCGGCGACAACCGCTCGGTGGCAGCGAACAATTAGAGAGCCTGTATTGCAGAGAAGTTCCGCCTGCTCGATCGGTGTCACGTGATTTATAGGCCCCGTTTGCAATACGAGCTACAGGTGACGAACGCGTTGGTCATTCACGAGCGTCTCCGCCCTTCTGACTGTTCTCCTCCTAGCCACGCGATAACGCAGCGCATGCGCACTGGCGACTGATCTCCGATGGAGGCGTCCGCCATTAAACTGTAAATGCTCCACATGGTTTGCGTTGGACCCTCTCTACAATCTAGGCTCTCTACAAAAAATAGGTGACGGAGGCGACGCCTATGGGGTGCTCCTTTCCCATAGTCACTGACAGGTTAAAAACAGGGCACCTGTTTCGAATGCCCAGATTCAAGCACGTGCTCGTTGACTTTGAAAGTGCCTTGCCTGCATGTGCACGCTCAAAGCTTACGAGACCACGAAGCGCTATCAAAGGTGATTTGCTCGCTCTAGGCGGGGCAACTGAAGCTCCTTTCTGCTACTATCATTCTGTGAGCGACTGTAGTCATTTAATATTATAAAGAAAAATGAGCTATCATAAACCTGATGATCCCTCCAAACTCGTACAATACTTTCTAGCAGTTTGCACAGATCAGCAGTTTGGAGGGTATTTGAAATGCTGCTAATCCCTGTATTTTAGTATTTGCGAGAACAGAGCAGTTAAGGAGGTTTCGATTTGCAGAGCCAGCTTCGACCTGACCAATGACGAGAACGTCTGGGCCAACGTGATTGGCCTGATCGCTGGCCACACCTATCGCATGGGCATGGATCAGATGGTCATTCAACGCTACGCCGCAGCTAGGTCCGTCGCTGACGCCCAGAGGTGAGCCACGTGATTTACTGTGCTTTCTGTTATCCTCGGTTCATAGGGAAAAGGCGAATCGCTCTCCAAGTGTGTTGACGAACATCAGCTCGGAGCACGTGGAGCGAAAGCTCGCGCTGCAGGATCGAGGGATCTAGAACTCGATTCCCAGCCCCGCCCGTTTCAGTCTGGTTGAGCACCTTATCCGATGTATGTTCGTGTGTATGCACGCGCACGGCACTGTTATGCACGGCTAGCAGTGGTGCTGCACTAGCAACAATTTCTCGCCTACAGCGCTGCCCACGGTGGAGGAACAAAGAACGAAGGGGCGTCCAAACGAGGCCAGCCAACACAGTAAAGGTTTAACTTCACTCATCTCCCGGCAGTGCCACTATCAGCTTAGGACACTTCGCGCAGGCGCAGTCGTACACCTTGAGACATTGAAAACGTGTGCCCGGATGAAGAACGCCCCTCGATTGGCTCTCGTATATAGGCCTCCTACTACGCTAGACATGCTGCACCGTCTCACGGCGTTGGTCAGAAATTTGAGCGAAACATGGACACCAGTGTTCGAAGGCGGGGAAGTGCCGTTCAGGCACCTCTTTAATCTTCCACCGTACAATAGACTTCCAGTGGTGCTGACTAGGTTACCGTTGTTTAAAAGCACACATAAGATAATTACACTTTCTGCTGTGAAGGCCATACAGCATTTTGTAAACCGAACATTTGTCCAAACACGAGCAAACAAACAACGGTCGGTTAGTAAGTATGCGTCTCTCTAATAACCGGCTCAAGGAAATAAAAACGTAAAACATCAAATAATAAAATGACTTGCCGAAATGTACAATCATAATAATGGTAACAACTGAAAGAAAGCAAGCGGCAATACCGCGTGTTCTAAACAATCGCTTTTATTTATTATATCGGTTGAGACGCGGACGATAGCGAAAGTTAAGGCGGCCTGAATAGGTGTAAACTTATCAATGGCTTTTTCTTATCAACGTTGTCAAGTGCTTCATCTAGTCACTAAAATCCTAATCCTACATTAAAAAAAACACGTACAAAGTTGGCGTAGTTTGGAATCTATGCGGCTTGATTAGTTTGCCCAACCAGGAGCTCGCCTTAATTCCCTCATTTTGTTTGGCTTGAACAGAAATTAATAGAGCTTTACCAAGTTGATTTTTGATAAAACAAGATACGTATGCGAAGACGTCTTTTAACAAACCGGGATTGGCTTGAGCCTAGAAATTATTAACTTCTCTCAAGGGTACAAGTACCAGTCGACATTACCAACAATCACAAGCATCAAGAAGAAACCTCGAACTTTCACGCTATAAAAAATATGAGCGGTTTACAAATCTCCGTATTGCAAAAATTAGAGCGCAGCTCTTGAGGAGGAGGATGGGAGGGTACGAAGGGGAGTTTATGCCCCTCCGTACCATCCGTTCATCCTCCTCAACCCGCTAAACATAGTGAGAAAATTTTACCCGCTAAATGTAGCTTGGAAAATTTCCCGGCTAAATTTAGCCGGTTAGGTTTCCCAGCTAATTTCAGCGGGGAAATTGACGTCACGTGACCTCAACACCAACTCAGTTTTCCTGCTATAATGTAGCGGGAAAATGACGTCACATGACTTCGTGACACGTCACCCATGAGCAAATTTAGTTTCTCCACTAGTTTTAGCGGCAAAATTGACGTCACGTGACCTCTTTACCAATTCGATTTCCCGCATAGGGCCGTTACGCCGACGGCAACGTCGAGGCGGACGGCGACGCCGCGAAACCCGGAAACGGGTGCCTAAGAGCAGCGCTTTAAAAATAAACACCCGTGCTTATTTTGTAGTGATGCGCCAATTCCATCAACGTTCTCACCGTCTAAACTTGTACTGTCATGTTGTTATTCTTTCTAATTCACCAAGTCCTTTTTCTTTTGAAATGTGAAATATTGTTTGGCTAAATGCTCCGAATTTTGTAAAGCTGCGTTTCGTGAAGGCCGTGGGCTGTGACGTCACAGGACTTCAGTTTCACCGCTAGATTTAGTAGGAAAATTGACCTCACATGACTTCAACACCAATTCGATTTCCCCGCTAAATTTAGCGAGAAAAATGGCGTCACATGACCTCGTGTAACGTGACCATCACAAAAATTCAGTTTTCCAGGTAGATTTAGAGGAAAAATTGACGTCACGTGACCCCAACGCCAATTCAGCTTACCCGCTTTCGCTGAATTTAGTGCAAAAAATGATGTCACATGACTTTGTCACGTGACCTATGCACAAATTAGGTTCCCCGCTAAATTCAGCGAGGAGACTGACGGGCAGAATACAATTGGGTGGAGTCAATTGAGTGGAGAGGAGTGCAGACACCTGCTGGAGGCACAGCTCGACAACGAAGGCCTGGAGGTCATTAGAGCTCAACCAAGAACGTTTCAAATGTCAACACAATCGGAACACGCTTGGCCCTACAATCTTTTTTTTTTTTTTCTTGCTTATTAGTTGCATGTTTTTTTTTTTTTTTTTTTTTTTTTACACTACTTGCAGGACCGTGCTCATAAGCACCCTCCTGCTGGTGACCTCCTTCTTCTTCCTGGGCTCAGTGGCAATGGCTCTGGTCTTCTGGTACCGAGACTGCGACCCCTTGCTTTCCGGGGCCATACGGAAGATCGAACAGGTGTCCCCTATTTGCCTTTATATTCTCTTACGTCAATACCATTTCAAACAAAACACATGGAGGTGTAATAAGCAGCGAAGCTTGCCGGATTGAGAACGATTTGGAGGGTACAGTTACTTGCAACTTAAAACAAGTAGGGTGCGGCTTCTGACGTTGACGCTTCTTGCTTTGTGATTCGCTCTTCAGCGTTCTTATCGCTCAGTGCCGCACTCTCAGTAGCTCTGGAGCGATAAGAGTACGCTCGGGATTTTGTCACTCCTGAGTTCACCTCAACTGTCAGAGGCTACTCGCGACTCCACGCTGTTCAGGCAAAATGGCAGATGACAGGAGGTCGTTTTCGTCGTTCAGCACGCTGACCAGCATAAATTTCTTGCACTGCAGCGTAAAATCGGTGTCACATATGAAAGCGAAGCGATTTTTCGACGGTAGAAACCTTCTCCTAGTTCGTGCGTAGGAATGAGACGTCGGAAGCATACAAATTTTTACTGGAAACGATGTGTGCTTCTGTGCTGCTTACAAGAGCCAAGCAGAAATAGCAGACGACTGAGTCGACACGACCCCCTTTCTTGAGCTTCTCGGCGTTGCTCCTGCGCGGTGTCGATTTCGCTGGAGTTGCCCGTAGGCGAGAAGCACCCTCTTTTGAGAAACGATGAGCGTACTGCAATTTATTGCAGGCCGACCTTGGGCGGACTTTCCCCCCAAAAAATGTGTTCGATCCTTAGGCCCTTAGCGATCCTCCAAGGAGTCGGCCATTGGTCTGTGCGGCCTATGATCGGATTTTGAGATAGCTCCAGCTTGTTACTATATACGTTTGACGTTAGAAAGTTCCTTGTGTTGCCGAAACGCTTATTAGCAAGTTTCTGAAGGCAGTGGTTCTTGGGGATTGACAATCGCGTTCCCTAATTTTTGGGGTGAGTTACCCCCCAACAATACAGAAAGTTGCTTTTATGTTACGCGTATATTTACTTCACTGCGAACGGTTCGCTCCTTTAGATGGCACAGTGTGGATAACTTTCACGCCCTAAACACAATCAAGTTTTCGTGATGTATGCCGATCCCCATAATTTTGTTTATTAAAAAGGGAAATATTGAAAAGGAGTTGCCTTGGATGTCTTTTATTATACCATTAGTTCTATAAAGAAAGGAACTACTTCTAGGCTATGGATCTTGCGATTAATTGGTGCGATGATGGTGCTGAGAGCTTTATGAGTGTCAAAGCTTTCTGCTCATTTTCGCAGGAACTGCATTAGACTATAATCGTTTATGACATGTTGTAAATGCCTCCGTCTATTCGACAATAGCTACTCATGAAAAGGTCGTTCATATATCTTTTAATATCATCAATGATATGGTTTCTGTTCACCTTAAAAAGCCCGCTTTTGGTGGCAGCGAACACCAGCAATCGGTTGACAGAAAGAAACTCGTCAATATTATGGTTTAAATGATAATAACATTGTGTGGCAACCACAAATACCGTATGTCTCGGCAGCAGCATTTTTTTTCTGAAAATTAAATCTAATACAAGCTAGAATTCCATATGAACCAGGTATTTTACACTGCGGATTAAATCAGATATTGTTTAGTCAAAATTTCTACATAATTTTTTTTTTTTAGTGAACAAAGACAGTCACATAAAAACACTCAGCGAGAGAAAGCTACGTATTTGTGGCTGCTGTACAAGAAATAAAACTATCTTCTGCATGATACACGCACGCAGTTTTTTTTCTGTTGTAGCTGGAGTTATGTCACTGTTTTAAAAAAAAGTAAACTACAGGATTAAATGAACAAGATACGAAAAATTAAGATTACTTAACTCATTACCCATTTCGCAGTTGGTCCCATACTACGTGGACACAAGCTTGGCTGGTTTCCCTGGATTTTCCGGGTTCTTTCTGACTGGCGTCGTCAGCGCCACTCTAAGGTATATGTCCCCACCCTTTTTGCTTTTCTATATACTTAATGGTACAATAAAGAGAGTTTTAAATCCGCATTGTAATGGTGTAATCACAATTCATGCGCACAGGACGCCGTCAGAAGTCAGAAATAATTGTTATTCACGACACCTGTTGTATCATAAGAGTTCCGTTCAACATTTATGCCGCGCTGATTGTGGAAGTTACACATTTCAGCGGTCAGATATGCAGTGTAGCATGTTTTGACAAATCTGCCCGAATATTCATTTACTGTGTTCTAGATTTTTGAATACAGTCTACAAGAAATATAGAAAAGTAGGGATGCATCGATTCACTGATTCGTAAATTCTGCCCCCGAATGCCGTCTTTACCAAGAAATGCTCTTAACAAGTACCCTGGCGGATATATACTTTTCTGCAGTGCATTTAGGGAGGAAGATCGGCGAACGATGAGTCCCGCAGTGCATTTAGACCAGAGATAAAGTCTCTGTCTCTCATCCCGAGACCACTTTTTTATATATACAGGGCGTTTCACCACAAAAGGACAAATTCGATATTGCGAAAACTGCTCTTCGCCACGAAAAAAGGCTTGTGTCGTTTTGGTCCTAGGCCAGGGTCCCATTTAGGAAAATTATTCAAGTTTGGGATAATTAAGTTGTTAATATTTTTGCGTAATTAACTTTTCTAGTATTATGTTTACGGCCATGGTTTAAATCAATAAATTGCAGAGCGGTAGAAAGCATGCGCAACATTTTACGTCTTTATGAAAAATCGCACAACTTCGACGGGTATGTAAGTTTCGGTTTGCAATCGGAGCACTTCTCGGCACCGACTGCACCGCACCCCGTGGAGAAAGAGTGCAACCAGCCTCTGCTGCGTTGCGCGAGAACAGCGCAGCCCAGGTTGGTTGCACTATTTCTCCCCGGGGTACGGTGGTATCGGTGCCGAGAAGCGCTCCGATTGCAAACCGAAACTTAAAAGCCCGTCGAAATTGTGCGGTTTTTCAGAAATCCGTAAAATACCGCGCTTGCCTTTTATCGTTCTGCGATTTGTGTATTTAGTGTTTTTCGATGATTCTCAGCAAAAGTGTGATTGAAACCATGCCCGTAAGCTGAATATTGAAAAAAGTTAATTACGCAAAAATAGTTAACAACTTAATTATCCAGAAATTTATTATTTTTCCTAAATAGTCCCCTTGCCTCGGACGAAAACGACAAAAGCCTTTCTTTTTTGGTGAGATACGTAGTTTTAGCAATATCGGATTTCTCCACATTTCGTGAAACATCCTGCATATCTAAGCGTACTAATTCAGGACTCGTTCATTCGCCGATTTTTTCTCGTATACATTGCGGCGACTCACTTTTCGAACGCTTCGTGAGAGGTCATACGCACGGACATTGTAGTAGAGTGATGCAAGCAGGACCCGTGGACTCGAGACAGAAGACGTGAAACATATCTTATGAATAAGCGTAAATGTTTTTTCTTCTAAAGCCGCGGCTACACCGCTAAAGATGCGTCACACAAAAGACGGTATGCAGACACTGTCTGGTGCGTGTACCTTCCTCGTGTGTGCAGGTCCCGTGACATGGATGGACGAATGGGTGGATGTTAATGGCCATACCTTTTGTAACCGGAAGTAGCTTGCGCCACCTAGCCGAAGTAGGAAACGGTGTTAGTCATGCAGAAGTCTGTCTGCAGACATGTTGGAAGCACAGATGTGTGTGAAGCAAACGTGATTTCAAAATGTCGCGAGGCGTGTTCGCAGATAATTCTCTCATCGTGTCCACAGGTCCTGTCTTTTGCACGATGCATGAGCGGCGTAACTCCGTGCCTTAAAGGGGTACTCCGGCGTTTTCTTAATTTGCCTGAAAAAACTTTCTAAACACACCAACAAACATCGCTGAAATAGTAACACAAATATTTGGCCAAAATAACTTTTTTTCGCGAAGTTATAAAATTTACAATTTTGGTCCTCATTGTGTCTTTCAAAGTGAAAAGCTCTAATGGCAACATTGAAAAAGTGACGTCATGGGAAGGCAGGGGTTCACATTTTGGGCTGTAGAATTTGTTCCCAACTGATTACAAGCAGTTTTATTGTGTCAAATGAATGCTTTGGAAGGTCGCTCCAGCTGCCTATAGCGAGCGGGTTGTCTATAAAGGAACTAGTTCCTTTATAGACAGCCCGCTCGAACCCCAAGCCTGCCATCCCGTGACGTCACGGCAATGAAAAGCGCGGGTATATTCGAATCTTGGTTTTGGCGTCATTTTCATTTGCCGATTTCACAATAACCAGTTTGAATTTCGCGATACTAAAAAGCATACCGGAAAGAGTAAAAGATGATTTCGAAAATATAGTAAGGTGGAGTTGCTCAAAAAATCACCAGCGTACCTTAACGGTAGTCCGGCAAATTTTGAGACTGCTGCTTCAGCCAACGGCTGAAGCAGCAGTCTCAAATACTGCGGACAACCCCGCCTTTTCGAACTCTCAAGAGTGCTGGGGGGACTATGAACGTCTTCGGATGTTCGTATGAGAGTATACCGCACGTTGTCGACGACTTACTTTTAAAAACTAAAACTGCAAAAAAAAAAGAAAGAAACTACCAACTGTGTTTATGATCGCGACTGTTATAGTTGTATATCTATATATAAGATTGGGTAATTTATGAGGCAAGAAGCGTGGTCACAATAGTCTATGCCCAGCGTTGCTCGAGTTGTCAATAGCTACAAGGCAACTGTAGCATTGTTTTTTTGCTTTTTTCTTGTGATTTTATAACTTGTCCGATTTCAGGATATCTCGCTCAACGATAAACATCAACTCAATCGTGTTGGTTACGCGCAAGATTTTTCTTTTTTTTTTTTTCTCTCATGTAGTTATTGATTGCTGATAGAAGCGAACTATTTTCAGGAGTGCTTTCGCTTTACCAGTATCAAGACAGCACTCCTGAGGGTGCCCTTAACTGTTTCTACACTTGCAGCACCGTGTCCTCTGTTATTAACTCGCTGGCTGCCACTTGCTATGTCGACATCTTGACGCCGTACGTTCACATCAATGAAAAATACGCTAACATAACCACAAAAGCCTTAGGTAAGAGCAACAATCCTTCACTGTGCGAGTCGCACCCACATTCACCTCAGCATGCCATGTCCTTGGCAATCTCTTTTAATTTGTATTTTTTTTTTATGTTGCAGCATTCGCATTTGGCACTTTGATGACAATTTTGGCGGTTCTTGTTCCGTACCTGGGTTCTGCAGTGAGAGTAAGTTTAGCTTTCAATGTTTGATCGTTTAGCGCGTAAAAGAACTAAGCTCCTCTTTTTTAAATCGCTTTCATAATGATTAAGAAGAAATACATAGAGAGCCTGGGCAACCTAAAAAAATGGCAAAACTACGTGATTTGTTCATCATTGATTTTCAGGGCACGGGGGCGTATTACAGTGTGGAATAAAAATATATACGGTGTCCCAAGTCGCCAAGACCTATCTAAATTGAACCGTAAAAATCGGCGTCTACAAGTAGCAATCTAAACTCTTCGTCAAAAGGTGTATTTCCCAGGTCAATTTATCCTTGTAAAATTACAAAGCGTAGTTCTCTTTCTGTAAAAAATAGGGCCAAGAAACTTACCAGGATCAACGGCGGGCGGCAGCGCAAACGACCGAGTCGAGTTGCGGGGTGTGTTTGGCGCTCGTATTGATAGATGGCGCTACCTCTTTATCGAGACTGCTTGCGACCACTGTGGTTTATTAAAAAGAACATAATTTCTTTGTAATGTACCCCTGGTTTGAAAATAAATGCGGGCAATAAAATCAAAGCTTAAAGTTTAAAAAAAAAAACGTGTTTGCAAAACCAGACTTGAGCTCGTTACTTAAAAAAATGTAATGAATTACAATTACAGATTACGGAGCCTCAAATGTAATGGATTACCTTTACAGATTACTTTCGCTGAAAAGTAACGGATTACTTTACTCGTCACGTTAAAAATTACTTTCACGTTCTTTTTTCCGTACACTTATCCAGAAAGCAATTATTAGAAAAAATTATGATATTTTTTTAAATGTTCTGCCACACTACTTTTCATTTCTCATACGCCCGTATTATGGCAGTCTTTGTAAAAATAAAATTTTGTATTTAAGAGAAAGAGTGTAGGGTGCACTCCGTTCACTTGTAAGCTGACAAGACACCGAAAGCTGCAACCACTCCCGCCATCCTCTAGCTTAAGGCCTCCGAAAATGATCCTTTTAATTCTGCAGACAAAGCTAGCGGTGCGCATGCTCAGTAGCAGCGTCTACCTCCGCTACGAGATTCGGAGCTAAAAAAGCGATCTACGAAAGCTTCCCTTTAACTCGGCTGTTTCGCCTGTTATTCACACACAAAAAAAAACTCGGTTCTAACGTTACAATGTATAGCCAAAGCAGAATGCAGGAGTTCCAGTTTACCTTGATGTGCTTCCGTAGATTAGAGTTTGTTGCTTTTGCTGATGACAATGTGGGATTTTTTGGCAAGCAAAGTATAGGCTGAAACTGTAGGTTTCCGCACTCCTTAATGCCCTGAATTTTGAACATCTCAATAAAAGATGATCATGGAGACGACGGACACTCTATGACCGAAAACTTGACCAGTCAGAGAATAAGTGGCGGTTACGGGTTATCGATCGTTCATCGGTTTTCACTTTCATACCAATACTTCTGGAGGGAGGGGAGGGCATAGAGAGCGAGAGAAGTGGTTGCCATCGGTCTCACAAAACAAGAGGATCCCACCGGTTTCACGCGTTCTCTCTTTCTGTCAGCACTTTTTAGATGGCCTAACCCCCCCCCCCCCCCTTTATCCCTTCCCTCCCCGCTGTAAAGTGAGGAGTAGACTCGACCACCATGCCAAGACCATTAAACCAAAAGAAGTATCGTCTGCACCCTCGAAGACGATGCTAACCTAGCACCGGGTGCTTTTCAGCTGTGCCCCAAGAGCGTGCTAGAATACAGTAGCGCACATCAAAGACAAAGAGAATTCCAGCTCCTCGCGCGAGGCTACATTGCCTGTTACGCGAATTGTGAGCCCACGAATCGAGGCGGTATGGACCCGTGTTTGATGTTTGTGCAAGTGGCGGGGATGTTGAAGAAGTTGGAAAGGGTGAAACGGTGTAAAGGACAGACACAGATAACTACGAAGAGCTTTCTTCTGTCCGGGAGGGGAAGAAAAACACGATAGAAGGCGACGGAGAACCTACATGGCGTTGTCTTACTTGATCTTTGTCTTTCGCATATTTGTACATGCTTTGCCCGTTTTTCTAGTGGTTCTACTGACCGGTCATACAAAAAATCGTGTTTTCTTTTCGGCTATTCTCCCCTTCCTGATGTTTTTTTTTATTTTTATTTTGTTGAACTTGCTTTGCTCTCTTTATGCTGCTGAATGTTCTGATCGTATAACTCCAGTTACTGTATTATGCTCATATATTTTTTAAAGTAACGAGTAATTAAAGTACTTCGTTACAAATACTTTATAAGTAAATTACTTTTCAAATTATTCCGGAAAACACTTACGTGGCAATTACCAAAATTACTTAAAAAGTAACGAATTACAAGTAATCCGTTACTTTTTGTAACGGATTACTTCCGAAGTCTGTGTAACGGTGGCGCTTTTGCTGCCAACAAAATTCGTCTGCATGTCGTCTGCTTTCTTTCGCTGGTCGGCTACACCCTCAGACCGCCGTTGACTCTGGCAAGTTTCTGGGCCCTATTTTTTACAGAAAGGGAGTTACGCTTTGAAATTTTACACGAAAAAACCCGACCTGTGAAATACACCTTTGGCGAAAAAGTTCAGATAGCTACGTGCAGACGTCGATTTTTACGGTCCATTTCAGTTTGAGCCTGTTGACTTGAGACGCCCTACATATGAGACAATAAATAAAGGTGTTGTAATTAGTAAGAACTTTAAACCAATCTCAGGCACTGTTGACAGCAAGGCTAGAAAGATACCTCTAACAATTCCCTATTCATGTATCAACGATCAAAACATTGAATGTGGTCCTAGCCACGTCTTGGCATTCCAATCAAATTAGCAAGACTGACCATCATCGTCATCATATTTTGTTCCTTGAAGACGTGTATTATACTGAAGACTGAGCACAAAGGTCTGAAACAATCGTGCCCTTTTATACCACCATAGTGAAGGGATAATCGTGGTGTTTCGGTGCTTGCAAGTTTAAACGGGACTTCTACTACCTACCTTGTTGTCCCCTATTTTTTCAACTATGAAAGGAGAATCTAACCTCGAACCAATATTGCTTTTCGTTGTCATCAGCTGTAATTTGGCAATCTGCTAGTTACCACTGTTGCATTTTCCGAGCGCCCTTTTCTAAAGTGCGCTCTGCCTGAAAGGTGTTGCGCCAAATATTTGTTCGTCATAGTTTGGGCAAGTACTCCGAGCAGATGTCAGACACAATGGCAACGTCGGCGTTCGACGTGAACTCACGTAAACTCGTATCGAAGCAGAGTTCTGCGTCAGTAGTTGCCAATATGTCGGATACAAATCAACGCGTTGTGCCCACAAAAAAAAAAAAAAAAAAAATTGTCAGATTTTTTGATGGGCTTTAAAATCGCTTTATTTAGGATTCAAAAGTAGAAACCTATGAGCGCAGCAAGCTTGTAGCAACTGCCGTTTGTAGCTTCGATTTCCTGTCACTCCAAAATAGAGTTGCTGGGTTATTTTGTTTGAAATAAAGTCAGTAGTTTTAGTGTGCTAATTACCTTGAATATTTCATAAACATTTTATTAACCTGTCTCGCATTCTCTTGCAGATTATTATGGTTATGCACAGCAGCACTGCGGGGCCATTTATTGGCCTTTACCTCCTTGCATTGGCGTTCCCCTGGGTTAATGCTAAGGTAAGTTAAAATAAACCCTCCTCAGAGGTCTTTTTTAGTTTGTTTACCTAAAATGCTCTTTGAAGTGGTTCGTATTTTTGTGCTATCAAAATATACAACTAAACCCTTAGCTGTTTTTTTTTTTTTTTTTTTTTTTTTTTAGGAGGGATTTTTCTATATACAGCGTGAGTCAAGAAGATGGTTGTATGTATGAAGGGGTTGCATACATCGGTTTCTTAACGAATTCAGCTAAGATTTTGTACAGAGAGGTCCGAAGAAACCGCTTTAAGTGTATCAATATTTCTCTGAACAAGCTTACCTGAGTAAACGTTAGGAATAAAATACTTGAAATTACTACCCACGGCATTCGTCTGGTAACAAAAGGCGTCTGATTGGCGCAACAACCAACTCAGGTCGGCTGTGCTACCTGCGTCGACAGGTGGGAGTGGGCGGTTAGGGCACCGAGTACCGTATTTTTCAGTGTCAGCTTCGTGCATGACACCACCGATGTCGGTGGAATGTTTTAAAGGCCTACGTCATTGTTGAGGTGCCTCACCCATTGTAGGATTTTTGGAAACCTCGGAGGTCGCCGCCGAAACTCCGTCCGAAAACGTCGGTGAATATCTTTCGCCCCCTGACACTCCCCGTACCAGAGAAAAACCTTCACTCGCTATTTGGGTACCATAAAGATTTCTTGCAGCTTAAAATAGCACAAATGAAAGTTGCACACAAAAAAAGCAACGCGGCAACAACCGGTGACTGCAAAGCAGACGACGGCATGTAGTTGAAAATAATAGTCGGTAAAACAAGACCACACGTCTGTTTATTTATATTTTTCTCCTTCCATGGCAATTTTTAATGTATTATTGGCAAGAATAAAATAATCGCGCACTGACAACTGGCACCAAAAAAAAAATCGCATCGCTTCTGGTTCAGAAACGTCGTCTGGTATTTCCGAGATCGAGGAAAGCGCTCGTTGTGCCGCTTGCTATCTTGCGTTGCCAACTGTTGGTTGCCGCGCCTACAAGTCGCTTTTTGTTAGGTGACGAAGACCTTATGTAGGGTGTTCAAGTTTCTGATTTCTAACTTTCTACTCAAGTAAGCTGGTTCATTGAAATTTTGATACAATTGATGCACGTTGTTCGGCCACCTCCTTACGAAATCTTAGCTCGATACGTCCAGAGACCAATTTTTGTGGCCCCCTTAAATAGCCGACGACCCCTTTTTGGTCACGCTGTAGGTATGCGCGTTTACTACCACCTTTTGATAATCCAAAACTAAGAATCCTAAATGTCCATTATAGGTGGCACTGGGACTGCTGAAAGAGTTAAACGGTCTAAATACAAGTTTCGGGGGAATCATTTCTACCGACTTTGCAATGACGAGAGAAAAATATCAACCCCTTTATTTACTGAAGGCATGACGTTAAAACACAGTGTTTCTGCGAATAAGCTTTCTATACTTTGTTTTGTACATAGTGTAGAACCCTGTCAAAGCCGCAAAAGCGTGCATGGGGTTTTGTCCCGCAGATCATTTGCATGCGTTTTTGCGCAAACGAAACCACGCCTGAAGCCATGCGCTCGCTCCAGTAGCTTTGACAGCGTTTTGTATGGAGTATCTACTGGCGGACATAGCTGTGTGCGCGACTGCTGAGCGCGTGCTGACGGCGAGCTTCCACAGTTCTTTTGCAACGTGCATTCTGCACCTTGAAGATTACCTCGCTTAGCAGCAGAGTATTGTGAGCTCCTTCTGAGCATGCGCTCATTGTCCTCAAATATGGCGCCCAGTGAATGCACCTTATCTACCTTTTTCTTTGCAAACGCCACCAGGCCGTGCTTCACTCTTTGAGATCCCAGCGAATTTCCGGTTCATAAAAAGGATAAACGAAGTCCAGCTTAGCACCGCTGCTGGAAATGTCAATGACACATTTAACCCCCAATTCTCCAGGTGAATGCCAACAGAGCAAAGAAGCGCGAGATGTGCTCACGTGTTTCGAAAATTTTTGTAAACCAACTTGCCTCCTTCAAGTCGTGCAATTGTACAGCCGCTTATTCTGGCTGCGAGTTGAGGAAATATACGCGTTTTTCTTTAATTTTTTCTGCGACTTCGATTGCGTGTGGTGAAAAACGAACGGTAGTTTCTTGGGTCATTAACGTCAGGGATGCGTTTTAAGTGGAATTTGCGCGAAGTACAAAAATCATTGCATCGCCCCTTTCAGATCAAATATACTCCCTAAAGCGTTGCTTTATAATGACCGTCATTTAGGTTAATATTAGTTACTCAGCATTTATGCATGAATAGAATACAAGTAAAGATAAAATACGTCAAATAACCTACTATACTGTCGGTGCCAATTTATTTCGTGGATAAAACATAGCTCTATTGGTAGCACGACGTATTTCGGTAAAAACAAACCACGGTTAAGTTCACCGCGATACCCATTCTAGCAACTGTCATACGGATGCAGGGCGCTGCAGTGTCAGTCATCATAACGATGGCCCTGCAACTTTGGGCTGTGCTGGGAAAGCTCCTGGTCGGCGTCCACCCGCCCCGGATGCCTGTAACACTAGACAACTGTCCCGGAAACTTCACCTTTATCGCCGCAAACGTCACTCATGCCTGGTTGGCCCAGGAAGAGAGGTAATGAGAGTCGACGTGCCAAGGCGTCACCCCAGAATCGGTGCCGATTTCGAGTTCTAGTGGTGGTGGAAACAAAACCCTTGCAAAATTCATTACAAGATTGATTTATAGCTTCATGAAGCATAAAAATAAGCGTGATTGACGCTCGATAGGCCCATAGTATTGGCTCCATCAATTTTGTTTCCAGAGTTGTGAGAATGACGAATTATTGCAAGTGCGGACCAGACATCTACGTAAAGCGTTACTAGTAGCGAGTTACTTATACCTAGTTACTTTTTTTGGTAACAAGTTACGTATTTAGTTACCTGCGAGTAACGTACTGGATTCCTTTTAAGGCCAAGTAACGAGTAACGGTGTTTCGTTACTTTTGAGGAGTAGCGTGTACAACACCGTTTATACAGCCTCATTTTAATTCTAACCTGAGTATGCGTCCATTGCAATAAATCTAGATTTGCAAACCAAAAAGACAACTAATCAGTATGGCAGTATAGCAACGGTCATCGTTGAACAGGTCAACTCTAGAGCTGGGGATGTCCTTCACCCAGCGAACACAATAAGGTTCGTTGGTTGAACCTTCCAGTGTTTGCAGGTTGCAAACACTGGAAGGCATCAAACTCATTCTCAACTTCGAACTTCAGAAGCCGGGAGAACAAAAGAGAGGGCAATAGAGGACCAAGGGACGTCGAAGGGGGCCAATCACTAGAACAAGACCAGTGATTGTAAACTTTGGGGTGAAACATCTTTTGTTCCACTTGCGCATCCAGATTGAAGGCTGAAAAATCCGGGTGGTTTTTTTTGTTGAGAACATGGGTAGTCTGGCTGTACCACGTGACCATCTTGTTCTATAAAATGAATAAGTCATTGCAACTCTTGGTAAGTCAGTTGTTGACCGACAAGCTAGCAGTGATGCCGCCCCTGGCGTCTCCGTGGCCTCAGCTAGCATCGATATTCGAAGCCAAGGAGGTTAAAGACAGTGACTGCATCATCTTTAAATGCTTGCTCTGTTTGCCGAAGCTCAAGGAGATCAGCGGATCGGGAACAATTCATTCAAACTTAAGAAAGCACGTCAATGTGAGTAGGGTTTTATCTTTTAGCAATATATGTGTTTTATGTGTTTAGACATCGCGGAAGGCAACGAATGGATCAGTTTACTATAATTCAACAGTTAATAACATTCCAGATTTGACGCACGCCTATATTTGACCGATATTGTCTTTTATCTTATTGGTGCAGTCTGTCCATTCGTCAACTCTCAAACACTTTGAAGCACTTGTTTTGAAGCTACAACCGAGTGAAACTTTAGCATCCGCCGCGGACCAGCAGCTGTTAAAGCAATTTTGTATTGACACTTTGGTAACAGGTCATCATGTATCGCAAGAGAAGTATGACGATCTTGTAGTCCATTTCGTGGAGTCCAGTTTGTGGTGAAAGTTTCTCACGCGTTCAGCATTGTGAAAGAGCCTTCTTTTGTGGAGCTGGTGCACTCGCTGGCCCCGAACCAATGTCCCTTGACTCGGCGGATGTTCGTGAAAAGGATTAAGAAGAGGTGCGACGAACTTAAAGCGATCCGCTAAGGAACAACTTTGAAGATGTACAATATACTGCTGTGACGGCCGACTGCTTGTCAACGCTTCACAGGTAATTGTTGCGTATTACCTAGAGTGCAGGTGTAGGATTTCTAGACATTTCCTGCAGGATTCCAGACATTTCCTGGGCGTGACGGCCACTGTGGCTCGATCCGGAGACATCGGAGCGCCAAGTGGCTAATTTGGCTTGCCGTCGAATGATGGCCAGAGTAACCTATGACCGCGTGGCCAATGAAATGGTTGGGGCGTTCGATGAGTATGGAATTGACGGAAAAGTTGTCACGGTCATCACTGACAATGCCTCGAATTTGTTAAAGCGTTCAAGTAAGCATCTGTTAATGTTGTCAGAAGTATTGCAGGCTGAATGTTTTGAACTTGAATTTTCAGATAGATGCTGTCGTTTAGAAGTTTTAATGCACGAGATGTAACATTTTCAACATCTTTCTTTAACAAGATCTGCTGGGGAAACGAGGAAGCAAGTGACGGCTACACGACGCTTAGCTGAAAAATTTGACTGAGCAACTTAGCGATCAGGACTACGCTGTGATTGTGGGCAACTGCCACCACATCAACGCTACGCCGCCAATACACTGCACCTCGTAGCAAGAAAAGATGCTCTGCACGCGGAGAAGAATGAGGAGAACTACGCACATGCTTCCAGGAGCGCGTTCTAAAACTGCACCTCACTTTGGATCCAACAAGGGCAATCAACGCAAGCCGCTGACATCGTGAAAACGTTCTCTGGCACATACATGTTGGGCCCAGTTCAAACAACTGGAACTATTTTTATCGGGCAGTGAGAGCGTCATGAATGCTATCAGCGAGGGGAAAGGCATCGACGGAATGTTCCAAAGACTTGGGATACCAGAGCTGGAAAGGCCGAACGATATCTAGTTCATTGAAGAGCACTGTGGCGTCAGTACATAATTTTAATCTTGAGTGAATGTGAATACTGCGATGACTATGCAGCCGGAAGGCCCAATACTCGGTGACTGTATGATTCCCACGCAAAAAAGCAATCGCAAAAAAAAAAAAGAAACTCCTTTTTGCACAAGTTATTTAGCATCTCGCTTGCGCTTTGAATGTGCTTCATAAAGAGCAGTACATGTTTCTCGGACAGCTGCTACCAACGCTAACGATGCTCATCAGCAAGCTGGAGTACGACGTAATGAAGGGACTAGTATTCTCCGCGCCCCTTGTCACCGCTCTCTTGAAAGGTGTTAAGAAAAATGAAGCATTTGCGGCATTTGTATCAATGTTTACGTTTTCATCGAAAAATGTCCCTCTTTGCATCTTTTTTGTTCATTACAGCTGGGTTTCTAAAACATTTTCGCACGTGGTTTGTCAGAAAGACCAGCGTGTCTTTTACTAGTTGCAAAGTTTAGGCTACAAAGTTTGTTATTTATAAATTATAGCATGTGATTGTAATGGCGGTCACGGAGTATGTGAAGATATAACTAATATTTGACGTTTGAATTTTTCTAATATATTTACGGTTTTTTTTTTCCATTTGGAGAACATACTAGCGCTTCACGACAGGGACGAAGGGTAGGAACGAGACAACAAATGCGCGAAATTCCATTTCGTGAACAAACGACAGCTGCTCCTCGCGGTAACTATCATCCCATGGTTCAAGTAATCGTGCAACGCAGATACCTCATGTCGCTTTCAGACAAGCAGCATGGCGAAGGACAAACACTTAGAGTTTCAAGGAAGCAGGGATTGAACCACGCGCCCAAGGAAACCTGATCTAGCAGACGACTTGTTTATTTTTCCACCCTCAATGTCCGTCGAAGACCCGGAGAAATTAACCCGCTTTCTCCTTGTGAAGGATGGGTACCCGCTGTCCTCAGGGAAGGTTCAGTTCCCGAAGATTTACCAGCACTTCCTGAAGCACAACACTGTCGTTTCTTCGAGCGCGTCGGTAGAACGACTCTACAGCGCCGCCGCGGATCTGTTCTCAAAAAACCGGAGGGACATAACTGATGAAAGCTTCGAGAGGCGGCTATTGCTTAAGTGCACCGACTACTAAAAAAAAATAAACCATGAAACAAAAACAGTTGTGTACTTGGTCATCAAAGTAATGCGTTCCATTTGATAATCGGTAACGATTAACGTATTTACTATTTAGTGACTTTTTGAGCGAGTAACTAGTGACGCTATTTAGTTACTTTTTGAGTAACGTGTACATGTCTGGTGCGGACTATGTGATAATTTTTTTAATAATGTTTAATGTGTCGCGACTTAACTGCATATGTTAATAATTATTTCTTTATGATGCTACATTCGGGGTGTTTTATTTTAATGAGAAAATATAAAAAAGGGGGACGAGGGTTAGACGACGGCCGTCTTCACCATGTTTTTTAACACTCGGCAGATATTAGATGAGGGAATAATGGTCATGGTAAGTTTGCCAATTAACCAATTCTGTTCATTAACTTTAACAGCATGAAATGTTTTTTAACTGAGTCCCCCCATCCCCAAATATTGTCCGTGCATCCGTCCGTGCATTTTCCGCTAAATTTGGCGGGAAAATTGGCGTCACGCGAGCTAGGGACCGTAAGAAAATTAACGTCATGTGGCCTTTACGCCTATTCAGTTCCCCGCTAAATCTAATGGGGAAAATTAAAGTTACCTAAGCGCCAATTTAGGTCCCCCCTAAATTTAGAGGGAATATTAACGTAACATGACCTATAGACTAATTCAGTTTCCTTTTTAATACAGAAGGTAAATTGACGTCACGTGATCTAACCACTAATTCAGATTTCCCGCTAAATTTAGCAGGGGAAATCGAGGTCACGTGACCTGACATGGGGTCATCTATACAACTATTCGGTTTACCTGCTTAGTAACGAGGAAATATACGCCACCTGACATATCGGTTCCCTCCTCATGCCTCTCCTCCTTTTCCACTCCCTTTCTCTCCCCATCCTTCCCCCTTCTTGGGTTTACACCCCATCTGCCTCCTTTCCCCTCGCTCCCTTTCTTCTCCCTTCGCTCCCCACCTACCTCCAATTCACTTTCTCTCCCTCCCTCCCCTCCCTGTTTCTCCATGTTCTTCCCCATCCTCCTAGGGCACTCTTTCTCTTCCTTTCGTCTCTCCCTTTCCCCTTTCTTGGTCACGACACACCAAATCAGTTTCCACGCTATTCGCGGCTCCAGCAATACGGACGCCACCTCTCGTAAAAACACTGAACTGGCCGGTACTGGTTCTTTCGCGATTTCTGCTCGTCTGTTGTGGCTTGCGCGAATGCATGTTGTGTCGGTAGTTTGCGCGATAGAACAGTTGTCTCGGTGACTCTGTCGCAACTCTAATATCAGCTTGTTACCCAGGTTGCTCTGAACGGAACATACGCAATTGCGCGAACCAGATATTCCGCGTTCATCAGCGTCCATCAGCACCGTGGAAGGACAGTTGGCAGTCCTTTCATCACTTTCCGGATGAAATTCAAGCCTCTGGATGCTCGCTTACTCCAACACATCGCCGCAGATTCGAAATGTGGAGGATAAAAAGCGGGTCAACCCATTTTGATTCCAATGCTTGCCTGCTGATGCCCCAGCGTTGTGCGCTGATCTGGCACATGGCACGACACGAGCCGTTTTAGACCGCCATGTTTGCCCGACAGTAGTGTCCCCTACAGGACGTTGGAGTCGCGAATAAACTATCGCAGAGGGTGGCTTGGTGTCCCTTAAGAAGCGCTTGAACTTCGTACTTAGTGATTTGTTCTTTAAACGAGTGCCAGCCTTCGCCATGCATTCATCAGGCTCGGCATGAAGGGATAATCGACATCGTAAGTTGACTAAACTAAAATATGTTAGACAACTTTTTAAAGTATTTGTTTGTGGGAGTCATGTAATGGCAGGATGGACAGCAACTACCATTAGGAGCCAGACCAGTTAAAAACATTGCGAAAGCGTAAGACATGTTTTTATATATTAATCAATTTCCAACGTTGTTCAGCGCTCTAGATTCAAAAATTGGCCCCAAAAAGAGTGCCGCAGGCCCTGCCCACAACGACGCCTAGTAGTGTGATGTAGTTGTTTCAATCAGGTCGTCACTTATGTCGTCGATGCACCCATCAAGGGCATGCTGCCGAGACAGGGACGACACGATTCGAACGGCCACGACATTCTACCAAGCTTCAAGCGTCATTGTTGACCGGGCTTGAGGCGCTGTTTTGGCGCGCAATTTGAAAATCGGGCTAAGAAACGTGCAAATTGATCAATTAATGTCGAAACAATTTATTACATATCCGAAATTTCTTGAAATTTGTTTGACCTCAATGATTGCCATCAATACTGTAAAACGTGACCAATAAAATCAAATAGAATTAAAAAAAACGGGCTGCGACCTTACATTTCAATTTGTAGAATGCATGAAGTGCAGTTTTTAGCAGCGATTGCTTCAATTTTGAAGTCATTAAACGGTCGTTTCTATATTTCGTTCGTACATAGGGCCTCTAAAAGTGTAGGTCCTATAAGAACCTATATTTTTATAAATTTGGGGGCAGCTTAGTTGATGGGTCACGTGACCAGAAAGGGGGTGGGGGAAGGAAGTAAAGGGAGGGGGGAGAGAGGGCATTATCGAAGGGAGGATGGAGAGAGGTAAGGTTGAGGGAAAGAGAAAGAAGTGAGGGAGAGGGACGGGAGGAGAGAGAATCGGGGAGAGGGAATCGGTGTGTCACGTGATGCATATTGTCACGAATTAAGGCGACGAGAAGACGAACAGTGAACTGAAAATGAAGGTTTAATTGGCAAACTTGTGCCAAACAAAAAGGTAAAGAATGAGCGTCGAGGCAGCAGAAAAGTGGTACGTCTGGTGCGAGAATGAACGCGAATCTTCTAGGGGTCCGTGACCGAGCGTTGCTTTCTCGGCCCTGCGGGTGGGGGTGGCATTACCTCCCCCCCCCCCCCCCTCCCTTTTAAAAGTGCATCGTTACGATGCAACTTGAAAGGAAAACAGAAATTGATGCAAAATTTATGGTGAAACGAAATAAACATCTAGTGTTACAATCCTAACGCGTGTAGAACGGCTTGAGTCGAACTTCCTGGACGTGACTAATATATAAAAAGTGTTTTACATTTTCGCAAATTTCTTTAACTGGTCCGACTTCCATTGGTAATTGCTATCCACACTGCAATTACATTACTCCCCCAAACGAATGAGTAAAAAGTTGTCTAACAGATTTTAGTTTAGTCGACTTGCCATGCCGTGCCTGATGAATGCATGGTGAAGACGGCACTCGTCTAAAAGAACAAATCACTAAGCACGAAGTTCAAGCGCTTCTTAAAGAGAAACCAAGCCACCCTCTGCGATAGTCTATTCGCGACTCCAACGACCTGTAGGGGGCATCACTGTCGGGCAAACACGGAGGTCTAACACAGCTCTTGTCGTGCCACCTGCCCGGTCAGCGCACAACGCTGGGGCATCAGCAAGCAAGCATCGGATTCAAAATGGGTTACCCCGCTTTTTATCCTCCACGTTTCGAACATGCGGCGACGATGTGTTGGCGTAAGCGAGCATCCAGAGGCTTGAATTTCTTCCGGAAAGTGACGAAAGGACTGCCAACTGTCCTTCCACGGTGCTGATGGACGTTGATGAACGCGGAATATCTGGTTCGCGCAGTTGCGTATGTTCCGTTCAGAGCAACCTGGGTAACAAGCTGATACTAGAGTTGCGACGGAGTCACCGAGACAACTGTTTTATCGCGCAAACCACCGACACAACATGCATTTACGAAGCCACAACAAACGAGCAGAAATCGCGAAAGAACCTGTACCGGCAAGTTCGGTGCTCCCCCGCTAGGTGCCGTCCCTTTTGCTAAAATTGCGAATACGTGCCTTGAACGTGACGTTATATGGCACCGTACCAGCCGCCATCGTTCCGTGCCAGGCGCATGTGCCCATACCCTCTGCAGCATTCATTTTGCAACATGCAATCTGTTCTTCTCGGCAATGCCTCGCCGAGAGGAACAAATTCGATGATTCCAAACTTATGCTTCAGAAGATACGGACACACGAGCATGGGACGGGGCAGTGGCGGCTTATCTGACGTTAATGCAAGCCATGTATTCACGGTCGTGACTCATTCTATGAGTTCTAAGCACACTAAAAGACTCATGTTACATTCATGCGTGCCCGATATCTTTGTGGAGCCCAAGTTCGTCGGCTTCTTTTTCAGGGGATGTTATGACGCCAGAACTCCGAGCTCTGCATGGCTCCAAAGTCAAATTGGACGTTTCGTGATTTATACAGCGTAAGGTCGGACTACCAGGATGGGGCGACACTGGTTTACACTGTAGATGAGCAATTCTGCCAGTGTAGTACGACTGCTAGCCTGGGGTCTTTAACCTGCACTACACAGTAGTGATACAAAACCGCACGCCGTTACGGTGCTCATCCAGATCGAAACGGACAGGGGTGGGGATTGAACCCAGGATTCCTGTGTTCTGCAGCGCGAGCTTTCGCTTCACGCGCTCCGAGCTGGTGTGGGCTCATATTGGCTCATATTGAAGAATACCTTCAGGCGGCTTGCTTGGAGGTCTACCCTCTATCCTTAGATCACAGTCAATCACAGCTTGGCGTTCTGACGTCACTTCGACCCCTGCTAAAGAAACAGACGAACTTGCGCTCCGAATTAAAATTGGTATAAAATATTGATTGCTTCGTAACTATTGCTGACCCAACTGGCGCCGTTGCACGAGGAAATGCAGGGTTCTGCCCTTTTCGTCTGATGGCGCCGTATGCTGTCAATCTCTTGATAATAACTTTAATGGAGAAATTGGCCACACAAGAATGTAGCGCTTTTGTTTTTTTAGGATGCTTAGCGCACAGGGTGAGTTGTTACCTGAAGTAGACTATCGCAGAAAGTGGTTTCGAGCTCACAAAACAAGACTGGACTAATAGGCAGGACGCTGAAAAACCGAAAAACATCACTCATGCAGCGATATCTGTGATGGATCACCGTGTTTTTGGAAAACAAGTGCAGGTTTGAACACGGCCAACGAGACAAGTCACGTCGCGATTCTCATTCCCTCTCCTCTTCACTTTCTACCATCAACCCAGTGAACCGAAGTGAGGAGGAAAAAAGCAAGGCCGCTTCCCCTCATTCTCAACCGTTCCAGGAGGATCGTGATGTCATAGCCCTCGCTTGATCGTATACTTCTTTTTTTAAAAGTATGGCCATCCGTTTGAGAAATCGATGTATGAGTGACGTTTTAGAGTCCGTAGCGTTCCGTTCAACCCTTCTGCGACCTTAGTTGGCGAAATCCAAATTTCGGTTCAATATCCCTTTAAGCTTTCTGTGACTTTAGCTTCTTTGTGCGCTAATAAAACATGCATCTTTGAAAGCTCCACACAAAACGTTTTAGATGCAAGGTATGCGTCAGGGGAGTTATACGAGCAGTGTTCGGACCATGCACTAGACTGACCTATCAATAAAAACGATTTTTTTTCCTTCCAAAATTTGCTTTTGCGGACAGTGCACCGGGTGCCGACTACTAGAGTCTAAAACATGCTGTACTTCGTTCCGCTATAAGTTATAAGCAACATCACAATAAAATGCTACAAGGCTGACTAACACCGATGCAAAGAGTAAAAGCGTAAGGTCCCGTCCATTCTCAGCATTCCAGAGTTTTAACGTGACCGAAAAGAATACGAGAATTTCGTAACAAAGACGTCATAAATCACACTAGTCGGAGGCTCTTCCTAAGCAACAGAGATCACAGTTGGATCATCGCGCACTCACAGCGGTGGCGAGACAGCAAATTATCGTGCAACGTACACAAACGCAGCAATGAACACGCCCTGAGATGCTGTAACGAAAGATATACTTACTGCACCCATTCAAAGCTGGCAAACGTAGTCATACTTTTGTGTAGGCGTATTTAGTGACAGACTACCGATACGCTAAACACTCCACGCCGGTGCAACGCAAGCGATGGCACTTCTAACCATCTTGGGATCTCTGATGGACAGGTTTGCTGCTAAGTCTCACCATCGCGACGATACATCTATAGTTCTCAATGAAAGAGCATACTAGCGTTTTGGTGACCCGATCAACAAATATCGTGGGAGCTTTTGCTCTCAAATACGTTGTTCGCCAGCCAGCTACGAGGTAAATGATTTTAACATGGGTCCATTTCCCATGGCCCGTGAGAGATTCAATATGCCTAACGAAATCGGACATGATTCTTCTACTAAAGCCATAAAAGCATTATGTGCTCCACATATCTTCGATTTTAACTTTTTTTTTTTCAACGTTGTTGTGCAGAAAGAAAGATATTTTCCCGCTGTACCGGCTGTCCGCCTACTGGAGTGGAGTTCTGACGGCTGTTTTGACTGTCATTATTGGCATCGTCGTTAGCGCAGCAACTGGTAAGGTTTCGTGTTTCTTTTCTATATTAAAAAGCATTTCAAAGAGTTTCTTTTTATCTTTTCACGGATCTTTGTTTTAAGTTTTGCAGGAAAAACAATTTTCGCGTAATATTTACGCTTTGAGACGCAATTTAAGTGGATGTCACGGCCCGCTGTAAACCCCGCCCACAGATCAGTGGCTCCGCCCATTACTACTGGATTGGCTTGGCTGCTCGGCCGAAACCATTTGGAAGCCTAGTGTCTCCCTTTCGTGGCATCCGGTGCGCCTGCCCGGAGTCCCAAATTGCGGCAATGTATTTAAACCGACCGCAAAATTCAGTCTCTTGAGCTATCGTGCTACGATTTTGGGCAGAGTTGCCCACAGATAGTGCTTTTTTCCCCAAAAATTTGCAAAGAGCGAACTAATTTGAGGAAAAAGTAGAAAAAGACTCCTATAGAAATGCAGCGAAGCCATTGGTCTTTAAACAATAGGGCTTCTTACGTTCCAATACAAGCGTCCGTCAGCGTCAGTCGATATGCAGTAAAAAGGAACCCAGGGGACTAAAAACATACGTAGTTCTTCCTGTCTTTGTTTTTGTTATATCTTCTTCTTTTCGCATAATATCCTAGAGAAAAGTGGGTGAGCGTCATGACGCACAATTAAAACGCGACCTAAAAATATTCGCTTCGGCAAGGGAAGCACACTGCGGAACTTGAGAGCTACTTGTCTTTCGAAGCGAAATGACGGAGACATACCTGGACAAACTTGACGCTACGCGAACGCCCGATAGCGTCTAGCCAAACGGCTCGCAAATCCTTACATGTGCAGGCATCTTCTCGGTATTGAAACCATGGCTGCACGAACGACGACTGCACAGTTCACAAAGCAGCGGGACCCCTTTTACGGGGACCAACCCCCTTATTCAGCATCAACACGCGCAAACGAGCGAATCAAACGAGATCAAACCGCAGATCAAGCCAGACGCCCGATTTCGTCCGCGTGTCGCCTGCTTTTTTTTCTTTCGCTAATCGGCTAAACCTTTCGACGCTGCTCCCGACGCCATCTATCAAGCGTGCGCCAAATGTGCCCCACCACTCGACTCGGTCGTCTGCCACGCCGTCCGCCTTTGACCCTTGTACGTTCTTATTGCGGAGCTTTTAAGGGCTCTTTTCCCCAGGTTCGTGTCCGTGGATAAATAAATCTCGACAACACAACCCTCTGGACAGCTCACGCTATCTATGAGCGACGTCGACAACAAGACAACCGGCTCGCTGGTTGTCTGGTTACCGCCGTCGCTCATAGATGGCGGCACATAGATCCAGCTCCGCTTCTCTTCCTTCTTCACTAGAGTGGAAAAACGAAAATATTTTTTACCCTGTAGATGGCCGAGCATGTTGGTCTCTAATTTACGATACGGAAAGAGGGGCATTGAAGTCTTGTCATGTCTGTTTGTTTTCAATATCCCTCTTTCCGTGTCGTTAATGTTTTGACCTTATTTTTGTTTTTACAGAAACGGAGCTACGCTTTGCAATTTTACAGGCTAAAACCGACCTGTGAAATACACACTTCATGAAAATTTTAAATTACTACGTGCTGGCGCATTGGCCTACGGTTCATTCTAGATGATCATGATGTTAAAAGCCTAGAAATGGGAAAGAAACCTGAAAGAAAAAGTGTGAGAAGTCACCGAAATCAGAGAACAGACAAACGTCCGTCCACAGCTTTTATAACCACCTCCCTAAGTCACCACCGTTGGCAGTGACCTTGGGAGGTGGCTATAAAGCTGTATGTATATATATATATATATATATATATACCGGGTGTTTTTGCGAGGACTTTCAAAAATCCTAAAAATTAGGGCGATTGAAAAAAGAAGAAGCTCTCTTCGGGAACAAACTACGAGCCACGGCGGACGGCAGGAATTGCCAAAAACCTACTAATTAGCCAGATAATTAATTAAAACTTGTTAATTAACTTTTTAATTAGTGAAAATAGACATATGATTCCAATTAGAAAGTTGCTGAACGTTATCGAAAACCACTAAATCAGTCATTTTCAGAAAGACTTTAAGCGTTTGAGAAGAGTAGTAGCGCACTAAAATTACCACTCGTGGAGCAGGTACAAGGCTGGGGCTAGATAAGAGGCAGAAAAATCGCGCGGGCGCCTTACCGCAAACGCTAGCCTTGTACCTGCTCCACGAGTGGCAACTTCAGTGTGCTACTACTCGTCTCACGCGCTCAAAGTCTTTCTGAAAATGATTGATTTAGTGGTTTTCGATAACGCTCAGCAACTTTCTAATTGGAACCGTATGTCTATTTCCCCTAATTAAAGAGTTAATTAACAAGTTTTAATTAATTATCTGGCTAATTAGTAGGTTTTTGGCAATTCCTGTTGTCCGCCGTGGCTGGTAGTTTGTTCCCGAAGAGAGTTTCTTCTTTTTTCAATCGCCCTAATTTTTAGGATTTTTGAAAGTCTTCGCAAAAACACCCGTATATATATATATATATATATATATATTGGAGTAAAGTATAGGTACCAGGCACCATATCTATTGCTTCACAAGTGCTTTTTCTCTGCAGGTGGCGGACGGCACGCAAGCAGCCAACTGCGGTTTACAAGTGACGTCTTCATCCGGCTCTGGAAGAAACTTAATCTTATATCGGACTCCGATTTGGTAAGATCTCGTTGTTTGTGCTTCTATTGCATTCATTTTTAGGGACGTTTTTTACTCCCATGGGTGACGTGCACGACTGAGACCGTCGCTTTGGTCGCCATTCGGGATTGGTGAGCGCCTTTAGATTAACTTTGTGTTTGTTCAAACGTATATTTATTGATTTGAAAGGTTACATCAAAACCTATTAAGGAAAGTTATCCAAGTGTGATCAGTGTACGGTAGACGATTATAAGGGGAAGGGAGAGGAGACTAAATAATGCTTAGTGACCCCTGAATGTCGCAACAGCCGACATATGGCGGGAGCACGGACCCGGCGGTTTACGGCAGCTCAGAAGCAGCCGGTCGCGCCAAAAGCTATACTCCGTTAACCTTTAAGCTGAGACTAGAAGCTCCGCCTTCAAAGCGAGCTCGCTGACTTCCGGAGTGCTTTCGTTGAGCGTGCCTGTGCGTTAGCAAGAGCAGAAAGCTCGCGCTGATGGCGGAGCTTCTAGTAGTATAGACAACCTTTTGGAATCATACACGGCGCACGCTTTTTCAGTGCTGCAGTGGTTAGTGAATGATTTCTTTCTCGTTCCCAATAAACCAGATTAAATGCCCAGAAAACAAATAAAACCGATGTTTCTTCGAGTATTTCAGCTAGATGTCGTCTACTTTTGGCGCGACCGTGCAGTGGCTGAGCAGTGTTGGCGGTAACGTGTTACTTTTTTTCAGTAACGTAGTAACGTAATTCTTACTCTTCGAAAACAATAACGGGTAGCGTACTTACGTTACTTAAACTGAGCACGCGTAACGTAGTACTTTGCTCGTTGCCTCTTTTTCCCGATACCTGAAAAAAGTACACCTATTTTTTTCTGTGTGTATTTTTACACTTCGTTTTATCTTAAGTAAAGACGCAGCCGACGCGACGAACTGATAGGACCAATCAGACAGCGACAAAAGGGCACAGATTTGTTTCTGTACGTGTTCTATTATCTTTGAACTAATCATAAACAAAAAAAAAGGCCTAGTGATTTGCGATTTTGATGCTGCTTTAACGTTCCTTTCCGTTCGTAGCGACGGCTGCTTTCGGAAAGAAAGTATATACTCCAAGTAATTAATTATTGCACTGATTCCACATACCATAATATTTTTGCCTTTCGTTTCCCCACGCAAGATGTACCACTTTAGAAAAAACACGATGCCCACGCCCTTTGTTCCAGTGTAAAAAACGAAAAACGATAGCCAGGGAAACGCTGTTGTAGTAAAATTATAAATAGGAAGTAACACAAGAGTAACGTACGTGACTTTTTATTCTTAACAATAACGCGTTCCTTTTCTTTTAAGGTAACCTAGGTTGGCAACGCATTTCTTTATTTCGCAAGTAGCGAAAAACGTATTTCGTTACTTTTTTCGGTAACACTGAGCTCCTGTAAAACACCAGGGCCGCGCTGCCGCTATCTGTTGGTCGTTGCACCAGCCAGATGCTGAGTGGTTAGCAGACTGGCGCCGTAGGTAAAGAAAACCAGTTCTCTCTTTTTTTTTTTTTTTACTTTTAGTAAATCGTAGGGAGGTAAGTTACCGAGCAGAATTATGCCGTTGCTTGGAATGCTTCAACCAGATTTTGGCCCCGGCGTGGTTTCAGATAATACATAAAATAACTGGCAACAATGGTTTTAGCTCGCATCCAAGAGGACTGAAGAGCCGTTTCTCTAGAGACCAGATTGCTTAGAGGCACTAACTGTAACATTCAAGGGAGAGAAGAGGGGGGGGGGGGGGGGACAATGCATTTTGAAGAGCTGTCTGAGACACTTCGCCATATAGCTCTAGCGTTAGTGAAAACACAATCATAAGTACTCCATTATGTTATCAGAAATGTTACGATTTTTCCTATTCATGTTTTGTTGAGTAGCCATCTCGGATGGATGGATGGTTATACCCTTTGTAACAGGCGGCAGCTTGCGCCCCCTAGCCTAACATTTCGTCATCCTTTCTTTTTTGAAAATTTCCAACGTCGTTACTCACAACATACTTTTTCTCTCCGAAGACAGAAAACCTATCTGTGAGTAACGACGTGGACTTCATGTGAAACAAAATGGCTGACGTTTCAGGGACACTATTAATTCTTGACGAGAAATATTATCGAAAACCCCATTGCTGGTCGGTTTTGTTTTCAGAGAAACATGCTAGGTTACGCCTACGTTTGAATCAAGTCGGTTTTGTGAGCATCTAATAAATTTCCACTCCCGCCCTTTCTCCCTTTACCCCAGTTTGTGGAGGGCCCCCAAAACTTATGGGAACATTTATGTGCTGGGAGGAGCTAAAATAATATAATACGAAAATGCGTTTTTTTTTTTTTTTTACTTCGAAGTTTTATTGGCATTGGGCCGCTGTACTTGTTTAAGTTTGCGTTCAGAGCATCACCTGAACCACTTGTTCAACATTACAACGTAATCAGAGTCATATAATGCGTGCGGACTGAGTAAGCCACATTTCGGAATAACATCCCCTTCAGCCGTCTTGTTCTTGCTTAGAATCCTTCTTCACAATTGCCCGCAAGTTTTTTTGTTTTTTTTTTAAATAAAAGTTTTGTTTTGTTTTTTTCTTTCGCGCTTAGAGTTGGTAAAACAGTCCGTAATAGAGCACAACAATATCGCCTGAGCCTTCTGAAACATCTAAAGCACAGGTGGTCGCTGTTTCAAATCTTAACTATCGTCAATTGCGCACGCTATGCACTGGGAAACAAAATGGCGGCACCCACAAGACAATCCGAGAGTGGAGTGTCCATGCTCTGAGGCGCAAATCCTAAATAAATTTACAAGGTGTCCCTGAAAAACAATTATAGTTTTTATTGTTTAATTGCTGAAATAAACTACGCATCGCCGAACGCTCCTTCTCCGAACAAAGGTTACGCTGGAGGTCCGAGCCAGAGATCAAAGTTTCAGCCCGGACCGATATCTCATTCAAACGTAATAATTGCTTTTTCTGAAAGTGTCAATTTCTGGCGCCATAGAGCTCCGTCGGCCGCCATTTTCCCAATGAAAGTTTTAGAAAATCGCATATAACTTTTGAATAAGATATCGGTTCGGGTTGAAGCCTTAGCATCTGGTATGGACCTTTAGCACTACCTTTGGGCGGAGAATGAGCGTTCGGCGACGACTAGTTTGTTTTTGCGGTTGAAAAAAAAAAAAAAGACCCTGACAATTTATTTTGGGGACGCCCAGTAGAGCGGGCGTTTTCATCGATCGCAATGATGGATCGCCGTTTTTTTCAAAAGGGAGGCATATTGAAGGCAGTTATTGATATTATCACACTGATTGATATACAGCAAAAGGCTGGGTGGTGTAATTTTGGGCACCTGCGAGATCACATTTTGTTGGATGTTAGCCACATGGGTCTAGGTCACAGCGGGGATTCGATCGAGATGTTAATTTGTTGTGGAAGGTTAATTGAAACCTTACGCAGGAAATAGTATGAATTCAGGACAACTCAAAATCCCAAACGTTGGCACCATATTAAAACTTAGACCAAAATACCTTTACTAAACTTGAAAACAGACGTTTAGAAACCGAGGACCTTTTGATTACAGGTGTTCACGTTCAAGATAGTTTATCTGGAAGACAGAAACAAAGACGATATATTAAACTTGTTGAGGCAATACCGCTGGAGGTGAAGAAATAAAACGGGATAAAAGAAATAGGGAGAGTGGAGGCAAGCTGGTGGCAGATGATCTTAAGTTGCCTGAGACGACTAAGTAACTTCTCACAAAGTTGTCTGCCTAACTTTTGCCATTTTTAATTTGAACGTCTTCGATTTTCTTACCCGGTGTCGTGTAATTTAACATCGTGTTGAAATGGGGACCTTGACCACATGATAATGTCAGCTGTAGTGTCTTTTTTTTTAAGCCACGGCGGCGACGTTGTCTTGGGAAAACCTTTATTCAATGAATGAAATAAAATTATTACAAACACCAAGGTTCAACATCCGATTAAAAAGAGAAAATCGGGAAAATATAACTTACTGTTAAAATTCAAGTTATGTAAAATTCTGAGAAGCGAAATAATTAAATACCCGCAAGCCGATGGAATAAATTTCTTAATACTAGTGGTTCTAAACTGGACTAACGTCTGAAAAGGACGGACACTACCCAGAAAAACAAATTTCTGAAAAAAAAGTTGATTTTGAAAAATACCATATTTACATCCACAAACAAATGGAGAGTATCCCCAAAATGTTTCATTAGTTTACACTACATACCTAATTTTTCATGAATTAATTTCTGTCTCCCGATGCTAAAGGAAAAGTAGGGGTTGGAGCGAATTGAACGCATTTTTCTCGGTTCCATCATTTGGTATAAATTTCGCTTTAGGAAACTATCGTTTGTTACTGGGACTTTATGAACAATGCAAGTGTGGAATTGTTTTGTTGGCTTTGTGGATGTCTTTTATAAAAGATGTTAAGATTTTGTCGACAACATAAAAGGCATTAAATTTATTTCATTTTTCACTGCGATATTAGCATGAAATAAATTACCCCTGCAAATTTCTTTTTGTGTTTTCACTGTTGCACTTTCCAGGCATTCTGCTGCAGATCTAGAGTAGACAAATGCTGGGTATTACATTAGTTTGTTAACGATAGTTTCCCTAAACAAAGACGGTATGTTCCTGATAAGAACTACTATAATTTATTTTACAATTCGTGTGCACAAATGAAACTTTGCACTGTCTTCTGCCTTGCAACTGCCAGTATATACTGTAAATTTTATTCATATGAAGCCACAGGTTCAAAAGTTGACTCTCTTGGGTAGTGCCCCCCCCCCCCTTAATTGAACGTCGCACATTCATTTTATATTGATTTTTAGTCTTGCACATTTTTATGAAAATAAATAAAAAGAAGTGCACAGAGCTTTACTACAAAGACATTGGTTACCGGTGTTTGTGTTGTCAATTAAAATAGCCATCAAAATTCAATGCCTATTGTTTTTGCCTGCTTATGACGAATCCACGTTAGGAACTCAGCTTGTTTTTAGATATTGGCGATCTTTGAAACATGGGCTTAAGCTGAGCAAGTTGGTTTACTGCTTATGAGTATGGCCAGTAGTGCAAACGTTATAATTTCTTTCTCTTTTTTTTTTTTTTGAAATATGTTTTCTTATAAGTTAGAGCATTTAAGTTATATTTACGTACCATCAAAATTACCGAGGTTAAGTCAGAGCAAAGAAAAGCCCTGGATGAACTGCGAGCTGAGAGCCATCATAACGAAAAAAAGGCGTTCTTATTTAAGATATCGTAAAACCCGAACCCCCCGTGCATCTCAGGCAACTAAGACAATTAAATAGTACGCATACAGACACAACTTAGAAAAAGCGAAACAAAGCTTCGATAATTCTCTGGAACACCTTCTGAAAACAAATCCCAAATCTGTTTGTAAATATATCAGGGGTAACAAAAAGGAAGTGGCTGGCATACCGCTATTTAGTAATAATGGCACATTGGTATCTGATGACACTGAGAAGATAATTACTTTCAACCAATTTCCTCCGAACCAATGCCGAATGGGCCACAGCAGTACCTGGCTGAGTACTTATCTCCAATGGCGAATTTTGAAATAAATGCTGACGGAATCCAGAGCCTCCTTCTTAACGTGAACCCAGATAAGGCCAGCGATCCTGACGAAATTCCTAATCGCAATTTGAAGGAATGCACAGACGTCGTTTCCTCTTTTCTTTTCATTTGTTTCGCAAAGTTCTTGTCATTTTCAAATCTGCCGGTAGAGGGGAAGGTAGCAACTGTTGTGCGTGTGAATAAAGCCGGTTCTAAGTGTAAAGTAGGTAACTACCGACCTATATACTTTTTATCTGCCTGTTCAAAACAGTTAAAGGGACACTGATAAGGTATTTATGCTCGTCGAGGTTTTTAGTTGTACATGACATATGAGAGCCCAACTACCCAGAACACAATTTGCGGCTCAAAATTCGGTTTCTTTCCGCCTGAAAACCGCCGATCAAGAAGTGGCCGGTTCGAGTCTCGCTCACTCTCTTTTCCGTGGTCACTGGCCGTTTTCTAAGGTTTCGACTCGACCACCAAATTTAATCAAAGTCGTTGGTCACGGGAGGCACACACTCAATATTAAAAATAAAAAAAATATGAAACATATTCTTTGTGGTTTTTAAAAAGCTGCAAATACGTTGATTAAAAAAAAGATGTGCACAGAGAACCGGAAGCATTCTGTGCGTGCGTCGTTTCGCGTTTCGTGGGACTCGCGGGGACGGCGATGGCAGCGGACAACGGGCGTGGGACCTCTACTTCAGAACTGTCGTTCGCGGTACCGGCGAGTTCTATTTGCCTTTAAAAGAGAAATTTGGGACTGATCAAAAGAATTGGTATTCATCCCGTACGACACGCCCGGCCACCAAGCCGATTCGCGCGAAGACGTCGCCGAGCCGTCGCTCCCTTCCGGTGGCGGAAGACATCGCTCGCGCAAACGTCAAGTACCGCACGATGTGTGTACTTCGAGTTGAATATGCACGCGTACGATTTCTTTACTAGGTGCGAATGTCGCCAATGCGTGGTGCTTCCCGACTCTGACCCGGAATTGCTTTTGCTGGAGGGAAATCGGCAGCAAACTTTTCAGCTTACAGTTTATCGGCTGCATTATTACTGAGGAAAAAGTTCCCCCCGTAGCTCAGTGGAAAGACGTTCACTTCATACGCGGCAGGCCCGGGTTAGATCCCCAGTGAAAGCGTACTTTTTTTCAGACATTTTGCGATGTTTATATTTATTTTTTTACAATTATTACTGAAGAAACAAACAAAAGAATAACAAACAAATGTTGTGGACGAAACGTCCCTGAACTAGATTGTACGGGATTTCCTTTTTGACACTTGCAAACTCAATGTTATTACTTTCCACAAAATGCAGGGAGCATATAAATCAGGTAGCGTCCGCTTTCCGAGGTGCCCCTAAATGTTCTACAGGAATTGCAGTCAGCCATTGGTCCCGATCCCGTTGATTTTTCGGAAACTCTGTTGCACAATGCCACTTTTTTCGGACGCAGGACATGTGAGCCAGCTCTCCACGCAACATCTTGGATGTATTGTTTTCGAAGCCAATCACGGAAATTCACCCACGGGCACTCACTACTAATCTCCAACTCCTCAATGTACAAAACAACTCATCTTGAAGTACAGAACAGCGAGCGGAACAAACATAACTGCAAAAGAACCGCACTGCAAACAGTTCCCGCAACGCCACCAGGCATGTCGTCTGCTACGCAGAGGGGAAAAAAAAGCGCACGGTCGGGTGTAGCTACGTGACTTTCGCCACTCACTCTCTCCTCTCCACTCCTCCGACCTCCGTGCGCGGGTCTCGGTTTCGGTTTCGAGCAGTTGCGTATTTTGGCTTTATTAAAAATATAATTATATATTTTTAATAAAGCCAAAATTTAATAAATTAATTAATAAATATAATTATATATTTTTAATAATAAATAATTAAATATAAAAATATTTAAAAAAAGAAATTCAGATTAACAGTCTCACTCCCATTATAACGATAAATAGGACATAATATGAATACAACTAGTAGCAGCGCGGTGCTACCAGTTGTAATCATGAACCAACTAGCCGGCCTCGCCAAATTAATAACATGAATGCCCCTCGTAAAGGATTTTCACATCCTAACTGTTCAACCCTCTGAATTTGGTTGTTCGAATTCAAGGAACCAACCACGCGATGCCCCGATAGCCCTAAAATGAGGCTTTTTTTTTTTTTATTTTTGCAGGAACCAGAAGCTTCAAAGGAGAAGGATGACTCTCTGGAGCTCTACGACTTGACGAAAGCGCGCAACAGCGTCAGCTTGTAGTCCTCTAGATCATCAGTGCTGCCTAAGTTGGCTCAATGTCCTTCTGTTTAGGGTGATGCCACCATTTGTAGTACCATAGCCTTCTCTGTACTGACTAGCCTGGCAGATCGCCATGAGACGCGGCCGCCGAAAGTGAAAAGGTAGGGCGGCAGACAGCGGATGAGAGGAGAGTCATGTAACGGGTGCCCCGCTGCGGCGAGACGCCGAAACACACTTCTCCCGAGCGATGGAATGGTTGCTCGTGCTCCTCGCGTTCCTCGCACGTCCTCGTCGCTGCAAAAGCTGTGCGCTCACTACCAGCTTCCCCGAGGAATTGAATTGATTTGAATTTATTTCCGCCACATTGGTGCCGAGGACACCTGACAAAAAGCCTCCATGAGAAGACTTAACAGGGTCCGGTGCGCGTTAGGTACATGACATCGTTTATAAATGAAAGCAAAAGGACACAAGAATATCTATCTAAACAAAGTAAGCACACAGTGATTTTTTTGTTAAACAATGAATATTAACACCAACTGTAATGAATCTATTCAGCAGTTTAGGCAGGTTATGAACAAGGGATTGTAATGCATAATTGGCGCGAAATTGAGAAACATTCCAGAACTCTTTGCAACTGATATTGATGACGAATTTGCGTTTGGTTAGATTTGATAGAACGGATAAAAAAGCAATGAACTTTGCAGATAAGAATAAATACGAAGACAACAAACGATAGCCATAAATATAAGAGACTTTCATAACGTTATGGTTTGAAAACAAAGGTTCGGCATGAGTATCATAGGAAACATTCGCAATAAAACGTAGCATCTTTTTTTGTAGAATCATTAGTCTACTGATATTTGTTTTAGTGGTGGTGCCCTATATCAGATGGCAATAATTAATTTGCGGGCTAAACAAAGCATGATAAATTTGAGTTTTAACATTCGTAGGCAATAGAGACCGACAGTGGCCGATGATACCAACCACTTTTGCCGGTTTGTGCGCTAAATATTCTATGTGATCCCACTGCATGAATTCTGAAAAAATTACACCTAGGGTTTTATGATAGATTACTATTTCAATCTGACTGCTACCAATTAATGGCTAGAGCATAACTAGTATAATGAGTTTATTTACAGATCTGAAAACAACAGCCTTCGATTTGGCAGCATTTATCTTCAGACCGTTTTTGCTCTGTGCTACCAGGTCCTCGCACTCCAAATCTGCAACCGGACGCTCTATCGCCCCGTTGTCGAACTGCCAGGCTTTGTGAGCCGTGAGGAGGCTATGGTAATATCCGATGCCGAAAGCAGGCTCTAACGGGGAAAGTACAAAAACAAAATTGACGAAAACCAAATGTCGCCGTAACACAGACAGTGCCACGAGCGCGTGCAGGGGCACGCTATTTCACGTGAATCTGAACAAAAAAGAAAAATAAACGTTCGGAACAAAATGGCGAAATGTCATCACCCTAAGCAAAGCGCACATGAGGGCAGCCATAGTCCTGCTTATGCTCTCCCTTAGAGCCGTGTATAGAAAGAGTTTGGTGAATGAGAGGCGCCCGCAGAGCCAGGGCGTGCACCAGACGCAGAAAGGGGGCTTGACATGCTATCTTGGCCTACCAGAAGCCGAAAAGAAATCCCCTAGTGTTGGTAGCAAGAAACAGTTTTAATCATAGGTATATAGTTTAAATAAGCGCGTAAGAGTTAAATGTAGTAACCCTTCATGGTTGAAAATAGGGTGCCTGTGATGTTTCGATCATGATCATGCAGAAAGATGTAAGAAACGAATGTGCCGCTAAACTCTGTCTTGCTCTGACAGTGTGTGACCGCTCGGACGGAAGATTCCCGGCCATCAGCGCCTGGCGTACGGATTATGTCGTTCGTTCCACTAGTCGCGCTCTTTCACCATGATTTTGTGTCGATCATTCCGGTAGTCGCACGCTTCCACCATGATTTTGAATGAGCGTGATTGAAACATCACGTGCACCATATGTTCAATCACCGAGAATTGCTCCTATGCACTTATTAAGTTTGTTTCTCGCGACCACCGCCAGGGTATTATTTCCGGCTCCTGGTTGGCCGCATTCGAATTTGTGAAGACGTCCTGGAACACGTCCAACCCACTTTCGGCAAATGGCGCCTCCTGATTTGGCTCCTATACTTCCTAATGAATGGCCAAACTCTACATATACCGCTCTGCTCTCCCTCACAATCACCTACAGTGCAGACAAAGGCTCAGGCGCGTGAGCCTAACTCACCGGTATACCTTTGTTTGCTGCAAAATTGCTGCATAAAACCATTGCCTCCTATATACTGACAAAGCCTGCAGATCGCCACGAGAAGCGGCCGCCGAAATGGAAAAGGTGGAGCGGCAGACAACGGATGAGAGAAGAGCCACGTGACTGGCGACTCGCTGCGGCGAGGCGCCGAAAGACACCTCTCGCGAGCGAACAAGAGTTTTCGGGTCCTCGCTGCTACAAAAGCTGTCCGCTGTCGTCCTGGTTCTCCGAGAAATGGTTGATGCTCTGTGCTACCAGATCCTCTCGCTCAAAATCTGCGACCGGGCACACTATGGCTCCGTCGTCGAACTGCCAGACTTTGTGAGTATAGAGGAGGCTCTCATAAAACACACTTTCCAAAGCCACGCCCTCCAGCCTTGATCAGCAGTGCAGCAGATGTTTGTAGATGACGTATAAAATGGCTTAATGTGAATTCATTAAAAAAAATGTGTTGTATGTTATAGTTACGGACATTCAAACCAATATATTTATTTACACAATTAGCTAAAAAGTTCATGTAATGGCTACTACTGTTCAATGTCTTGGTGCGATGGCAACCAACTTTCTTAAATATATCAGTTGAAAAGCTCCACAAAAGATCGATCATTCGAAAACGGTTCTTCTCTGTTGCATGCACACGAGCAGGTACGTGCGGATTGCCTTCCTAGCGTCACCTAGAGCCAATGTATATGGCAGCGTAGCTGCCAGAGTAGCGCCAAGCTTTTCACTGTGCCGCCTCTCACTACGATTGGTCATACGCGGTACCATAACAATGAACCGAGCTGGCACCGTGCCCATAGCAACCGAATGACTACTCGTCACATGACCTCACAAGAGCCATGATATCACCGGTAAGGTGGCAGCGCCGAGAGCTGGTGGATGCGAGTTTGTTCGGTGCGCGGAGCCGTGAAATACCGCTTCATTCCAATGGTTTCGGGCTTATTCATGTCCTCTGTCTGACGCGGGTATAACGTGAAGATCTTAAAGAATTAGACTTAATAACCTTTTTGTGCAATATCGCCCTGGACATTAGCACCTGTGAAACAGCATGAGTCATTTCGCCAAAGCGGTGCTCGGACTCCCGGATGAGTTCGAGGATCGACAAGACGTTTAGCATGCAATTTGCGCATACACCTAGCTTTGCTTGAACATTGGAATGTCTGAGAATCGATGCGAAATGACTGCGTCACATTGTGGGCCTTGGGGAAGTTGTTTCGGCCCCAGGTAACCGCATAATCGGAGAAACTTTTAGCGAGGAAGCTCCTGCGATCTTTACGTTTTGCACTAATGAAGGATTTTACATAGAAACTTTTAGGTTCCTTTGAAAGTGTGAATTTCTGAGAATCCAAGTGAGAGGCGTCTGTCGCGTGTATGGCCTAGGGGAAGTTGTGTCAGCCCTGGGTCACCGAATAATCATAGTAACTTTTAGCGAGGATGCTCCTGCGATCTTTAACCTTTTGTACTAATCGACGATTATTCGGGTTGGCAGTTTTGAAGATTTTGATATAACCTGCTTTCGTTGCAGTAACTTGCATTTGATCGTAGTGTTTTCTTGTTGCTTTTTTTATTTTTTTATTTAAGTAAAAAGCTGGCGTTTGCTAAAGTGACGTATATAAAATGTCCTCCTATATAGCAATGCATCAACACATACTGTTAAACGTAGATGCTCAGAGGTGTGTTCGACTTTGCAATTAACAAGTTACAGACATTATCATATCTTACGAGGGTAATATTTATTTTCTGTAGCTGGGCCAGTTTTCTGCTCATTAATATTAGTGTGCTATGATGTTATTTTCATGTGTGTATAGTTCTAAATACCCTCTTTGCAATGCCTACAAAAAAGGCCCTTGAAGGAAATAAATAAATAAATAAAATTCATATCACTGAAGTTTGTTTTCCGATACACCGCACGTTCAGGAGAAGTGGAAGGAGTACAGCCCAATGCAACAAGTCTGGTTTGTCCCATTTATCAATATTGGGGGGTCAGAGATGCGAATGTCCTCATAAGCTCCACCGCGTATACAGTGAACACAATTCTTGGTGTGTTGACTCCGAAGGCGCAAAGGCTGGAGTGTGAATACGATACGTACTTGGTTAGTATATCCGCTTAATGTATTTCCTCTTGATTACATTATCACGGATTCCTATCAAACGGTTCCATAACAAGTCCTTTCTGAAAGAGCATCATGTCAGGCGCTCAGTCAAAGTAACTGTGCTCCTTGTTGTCGGCATACGCTCCTGGCACGTCGGTGCTCAGTTTGGTCGAGTGGCAACTTTGACTGACTGATTCCATCTTGTGATCATATGTCATGTGGCGCCAATGACATCTGATGCACTGAAACTGGAGGGCTGGCTTCTAATCCGCAAAGTTTTCTGGTAGTTTGCTGCGTCAATGTAGCAAGTTTGGGCATGTACTGCTTACGTGGCTGTGCTTTTTGCTGTACCCTTGAGTTGATGGCTGGCAACAATGTTTGCTATCCAAGTCACTTCACTTCCATTCCGCAATGGCAATTTCTTTTGCAAGTCGCGACCACTGCAACTTGTGTATATCTCATGTGGCAAAGTGAAGTCGGGTAATGCTTGGTGTCCAGTTTTTGACAACGACAAACCATTGTATTTCTTCAAGCCACTCAGCGGCATTCTCCCTCAAAGTGGGCAATCGTGTGCTTTGTGGAGTGCAGAGCCGTATATTGGGAGAGTTTAGCCAGTGGGTGTGGCGACGAAGGCGCCGGAGAGGAGAAAAGTAAATGAAAGGGAGGAGAGTGCCGAAGAAGCGAGAGAAAGAAGGGAGCAGAGAGGAGACGACCGCCATTTT